GCTCTGAAGGCAAACGAGTCTGGCCACCAAAGTAGGCAGACCGCCTGAGACATCCCCTCAATCTGGGCGCGAACGGAGGAGTGCAACCACCTCTCGCGCCCCCCCTGGGGAGTGCTGAACACAACCCCTCGCATGATGCATCCTCGCAACCCGCTCCGAAAGCAGAGAACCGCTAGAAACATCCCCATACTTGGGGAGCGAATGAGGGAATGCAACCACCCCTGGCGCCCCAGATCTGAAAGTGTTTTAACCAGCGTCTCGCATAAGACATCTTCGTCCCCTGGGCGCGAACGAGGGTCTGAATGTGAATGAGTCTAAGTGTGACTGAGTGTGAGTGAGTCTGATTGTGCTTGTGTCTGAGTATGAGTGAGTCTGAGTGATGAAATCTGTGCGTGCGTGAGTCTGAGTATAAGGGAGTCTGAGTGTGAGCAGGTCTGAGTGCGAGTGAGTCTGAGTGTGTGTGTGTCCCAGTGTGAGTGAGTCTGCGTGTGAGTTGGTGTGAGTACGAGTGAGTCTGAGTGTGAGAGGGTCTGAGTGTGAGTGAATTTGAGCAAGAGATAGTTGAGTGAGTCTGAGTGCGAGTGAATCTAAGCGCGCGCAGGTCTGAGTGTGAATGATTATGAGTGCGTGTATGTTTGTGTGCGTGTGTCAGAGTATGAGTGAGTCTGAATGCGAGTGAGGCTCAGTGTGAATTAGGCTGAGTCGGAGGTTGGGGGTGAGATCGCAGTGGAACGGAGAGGCGAAGCGGGCGTGGCGAAGCTGCGTGGAACGGAGAGGCGAAGCGGACGTTTCGTTCGTGTCGTGCGCGCGGGCGAGGCGAAGCTGCGTGGGCGCGCGAGAGGAATGAACCCGCCGCGTCTACGGCGAAGTCAAGGCAAATGGTTCTCCTCCGTCCGTCCGTCCGTCCGTCCGTCCGTCCGGCGGCGGCCCTAGCGGTGGCCCGCGGTGTCCCGCGGTGTCCCGTGGTGTGCCGTGGTGTCCGCCGTTACTAGGGCGAAGTCAAGGCAAATCTAGTGAGATCGATAGTGATATCGATACTGAGATCGATGTGGTGCCCCAAGGTGTCCCGTGGTGTTCCCTGGTGTCCCAAAAAGTGAGATCGATAGTGAAATCGATATGAGATCGACAGGTGTCCCGTGGTGTCCCGTGATGTCCCGTTGAGTGAGGTCGATAGTGACATCGATAGTGATATCGATTGTGAGATCGATGTGGTGCCCCGAGGTATCCCGTGGTGTCCCAAACAGTGAGGTCGAACGTGAGATCGATAGTGAGATCGACAGGTGTCCCGTGGTGTCCCTTGGTGTCCCGTTGAGTGAGATCGATAGTGAGATCGATAATGAGATCGATAGTGAGATCGATTGTGAGATCGATGTGGTTTCCCGAGGTGTTCTATGGTGTCCTATGGTGTCCCGTTGACTGAGATCGATAGTGGGATCGATAGTGAGGCCGATTATGAGATCGAGAGGTGTCCCGCGGTGTCCCGTGGTGTCCCGTGGTGGCCCGTGCTGTCGCGTGGTGTCCCGTTGAGTGAGATCGATAGTTAGATCGACAAGTGTCCCGTGGTGTCCCGTGGTAACCCCTGTTGTCCCGTTGAGTGAGATCGATATTGAGATCGATAAAGTCAGATGTTGGTTCCCCCCCTCTCCCCCCCCACAACCTCCTTATCACCCGAAGGGTGGTCGTATAGGTATGTGCGTGTGGCTGAGTATGAGAGAGTCTGAATGTGAGTGAGTTTGCGTGCGAGTGGGTCTGAGTGTGTGTGTGTCTCAGTATGAGTGAGTCTGAGTGTGAGTGAGTCGCAGGTGATCTCAGTGAGTCTGAGTGTGAGTGAGTTCTGAGTGCGAGGGAGAAAATGGAGGAGGAAGGAGGAGGAGAATGAGTCGACGCTGAACAACCCCATCTCAGGAGGGGGAAATTCAGAGGGTCCCCCCGCCACTCATTTCTCATGACTCGGGAGATCAGGCTCGGAGGTCCTGGAAGCCTTCGGGGGACTGCCACGCGGTGTCGCGCCCGGTCAGGGCGGTCGCGCGGGACGCTGGCGAGGTCTGCGCCACCGAGACCTTCACGCCCCTTCGGCGTGGCCATCACGCCGGTGATTGCCGCTGTCCGTGCCGGGTCCGACCTGGACCCTGGCGAGCCGGGGATCCACACCCGCCCGCGACCCCCCGCCTGCCCGTTGGGCTGCCTCGAGGAGGAATGACCGCAGAGTGTGGGCGCTCCGCTCGGGCTCCTCGGAGCCGCGCGGAGCGCCAAAGCTTGTGTCCGCCGTGCGATCTCACCACGCTCGGGGGAGCGTAAGACCCGGGTTTGCCAGAACTCGGGTTCGCCATCGTTTTTCGACGACCGCGCCTCGGATTTTGACGAGGAGGAGCTTCGTGGGATGCCTGCAGCGGGAGGCCTCGTCAGAATGCAGGCTCGGCCTCGTCATTTTTTTGACGACCTCGTCGGGGATTTTCGAGTCCCCTGTACCCGGGTCTTACGTCCCCCTGACACGCCGTCCGCGGCACCCGCCACCCCGCGGCAGACCCTCCGCCCCAGGGCGGCCCCAGCGGCCCTCGGCCTCTGCCGCCCCTCCCAAGGCGTCGGCGGCTGGCCCCCCCTGCCCCCCGCGGCGGCGGGGCCCTGCCCGGGAGCTCCCGCGGCGGCACCCCTCTCGCCAGCCGCCCGCAGCCCTCTGCCAGCGGCGCCCGGCGCCCTCCGCCAGGCCCCGTCCATGCCCGCCCCCTCCTTTCAGGGGCGAAAGAAGGACGTACATGTACATGAATCCACGCTGGTTTCGAGAGCACGCACTGCACACATGTTCGTATAACGCGGCCGGTCTCGCGAATCGAGGGGCCGTGTTCATGTACATAGCTGGGCGCGTACGTCCTTTGTGGGCTCCCTATCCATACCTCCTTTCGAGGCGGCAGGTCAGCGCAAGGGGCCCGGCGCCCAAGAAAGGGAGTCGGGGATCCGCGCCACACGCGAAGCGTAGGCGCGGGACGTCGCTCCGCGGACTTGGCTGATACAGTCGGACGGAGGTGTAAGATCGAGGCTGGCTCGGGGAGGGTGGCCCTAGTATTCTTTGTGCTTGTGGGATGTTCTTGTGCATCCTGGGGGAGGGCACCCTTTGAATGTTCTTCCGTTTGGGCCGGCGGAGGGTCTCATGTTCTTGGAGGATGTTCTTTTGGTCTAGGTCCGACTGTAAGGATCAGCCACCCGACGCCAAGTGCTGCCGAGCCCCCTCAGAGAGAGTCTTCCGAGCGCGCGCGGTGTTTTTGTTGCTCGTGCCATCAGCGTTGAAGTTTCGGGCAGCCAGCGGCGCGGGCAATCTGTGCAGTGCCCGCATGTCAAGGATGGCCGACGCGAGCTGCAGTCGAGCTGCACTGCAGAGTCGCTTCGGGGTGGACTTGGGCTGCGTCTTCCTTCGGCCGCTGAAAGAATCCGCAGGGAAGCGAATCTGATACCAGAGCGAGGTCTTCGATGTCAGGGGCCAGGACATGTCCTGAGCTGATAATGTCATATTATTTGTGAACTATTCCGAAGTTACCGACCCCCTTGCAAACGGTGTTTCTCGGTGTCGCAAAAGGTTATCAAAAGGATTCGAAGTCTGGCACAGGACGAGGAAGAGAGGGATAGGGGGCTTCGGGTAGGCGGGGGGGGGGGGCGACTCGACCTGCTCGATTGCACAAACAGGGTCGGAGGGATCTGCGACTGATCGGGGGCGGCAACGAGGGGGGTGATGACTAGAGGGGGCGGGAGGATATCATGGCGTTGGCCATGATATTTCCTCAGATTTTATGGCGCCTCTTGGACGTCCCCCTCTTGGCCGCCCCCTTGCTGAGGAGGGCCGGTGGATTGCCCTGGAGAGATCTGGGCAGCTCGCGCAAGCTTGCCATCGTCTATGAGCAGTGCGGCGCTGTCGGCACAGCTCACCAGCACGCTCCGTCGAGCTCTGTGGGGTGGTCAGTGAGGTGGGCAAAGGATCGGATCACCTTTAGTTGTGCCCTGGCGTTGGCCTGGTACCTTGGGCGAGAGATCTGGCGCCAAGCCCGTCGGGGAAAAACAGAGTTGGCATGCCGTCGGCAAGTGAGTGGACTTCGTGGGACGCAGCGAGCCCCACCGTCGTGGAGCAGCGAGGCCGAGACAGCACCGCAGTTCGGGCGCATGCCGCTGGCTGAGCCCTCGCCCGGTGCAGGCATCGACGTGTTCAGGTGTACATGCATCCAGGTCATGTGCTGGGCATCGCGCAGTGGTGAATACTTGCATGGTAGGCATTGGTCGTAGCCTCCAAAGTTGACAGACGTAGAGGTTGGTGTAGTGCGGTGCAGCAGCACCATAGTCACCAATGGTTGGCAACGTTGTTTCACCGATTTGCGCTTTGGCATCAACAAGGCCGACAAGTTGGACCGCAACACGAGGCCGTGAAAGCAGAAAGTCCGACGTCTGATGTCACCATTCGCCGACCTCCGCAGCTGGCTTATCGCAACCAGGGGCAGGCTCCTCTTCACTGGTGAGGATCAAGCGCACCAGAGACGATGCTCAGCGGCCGCCTATGCGGGAGATGGGAGGATAGAATAGTGTAGGGAACGGGGGAGGGAAAGGGGGAGTGTGGAGGAAGGGAGGAGGGGAGGGGAGGTTGGTGGAGTGTCGGCGAGGGCAAGTGAGGGGAGGGGGAGGGAACAATGCCAGGGGAGGTGATGCAGAGGAGGGGAGGTGAGGGGAGAGGAGGTGAGGGTAGAGGATGGAGGGGAAGGGGCAGGGAGGGCAGGGAGGAGAGGAGAGGCGGGGAGGGGGGCTCCTCCATGTTTGGTCCCTTCTCCATCCGCCCTCCCCTCTTCCTATCTCCCTCCCTTCTCCCTCCTCCGTCTCCTCTCTCCCCCGCCCTCCCTCCCTCCTCATCCCACGGAAATCTTGCCCTCCGACCTCGGACTCAGGGTCGGCCCATGGAGCGGTGCAGGTGGACGGCCGTCGCCCCTCCCGGGGGAGGCCCTCCCGGCCCGGCGGCGGCGCCGACCGAGGTCGTTCCTGATGAGGGGCAACTCGCGCACCACTGTGACCGCGCACCACTCGCACCCCTCGCACGGCAGCTCCATGCACTTGCTGAAGGCAGGGGCCGGCTGCTCCGCCGCTGCTCCATCCTCCTCCCCCTCCTCCTCCCCCTTCGCCTCCCCCTTCTCCTCTCCCTTCTCGTCCCTGCTCATCTTGCTTCCTTCCCCCTTCTCCCTCCTCGTCTTCGTCGTTGACCTCCTCCTGCCCCGCCGCTCTCTTTTTCCTCCACCTCCTCCTCGGCTCCTTCGCCGCCTCTTCCTCCTGCTTGTGCTTGTCCTCGGTCCTCCTCCGGCTCCTCCTCCGCCTTCGCCTTTGCCGTCTTCTCCTCCTCCTCCTCCTCCTCTTCCTCCTTCTCCTTCTCCTTCTCTCTCTTCCTCCTTCCTTTTCTCCCCTTTCCTACTTTCTCATCCCTTTCGTCGTTGTCGTCGTGGTCCTCCTTCCCCCCCCCTCCTCCTCGTCGTCCTCCTCCTCCTCCTCGTCCTCTTCCTCCTCCTCCTCCTCCTCCTCCTCCTCGTCCTCGTCCTCTCCTCCTGCTCCTCCTCCTCCTCCTCCTCCTCATCGTCCTCCTCCTCCTCCTCCTCCACCTCCTCCCCCCTTCTCGTCACTCCCCCTTGTCCTCCCCCTCCCCCTTCTCCTCTTTCTGCTGCTGCTGCTGCTGCTCCTCATCCTTCTCCTTGTTCAAGTGGCTTACGCCAGTCCGCCGACCCCCAGAAAAGACAAAGAGTAACGCACAATCGCCGGAAGTCAATCTGAGGTTTTGGGCTTGAATGCGTTGTGTCGTATCTCGATTATCTTGGGGCCTTGCGTGCTCTCTTGGGGCCTTCGGAGTCGGGCGGTCTATGTCGGAAGGTTCTGTTGGCCTGGAAGACACGATGTTCAGTTCATCGCCTGCTTCTCGAGCAGGATTCCCGGCTGTGGGAGAGTAGAGATCAATGTGGAAGGCTGGGGCCGATCATGTCGCGCGCGGTCTGGCTCTTGCAAATGTGGGTAGGCGGTCTCCGCGTCTATAGACTTCTCGGGGGCCTCTTGGGGGCCTCGTGGTGGCTTCTCGGAGGCCTCCTGTCGCCTCTTGGGAGCGACTCGGGGGCCTCTAGGGAGCTTGGGGCCATCTTCGGGGGAAGGGCTCGAATTGGCAGTTCGTGCTCGCCCTCTTAGGTCCCTCTTGGGCCCTGCTGCTGCTTGTCCTTCTCCTAACTATTGTTCTTCCCCACCCCCCTGCTGGAGCCCTATCCTGGCGCGTTCCCCCCCAGGCCTGGCAATACGTGTGTGTATATATAGTCATATATAAGTATCCGCAAGGGCTTCGCCCCCATGCCGCCGGCACCCCTCTCTTAGAATGGAACTCGCCAGAGCTGTGCTGGGATGTCTGGACGCTGACGCGAAGCAATGTCGGGACTTCACGCGAGGGCCAATATTCATTTACGTGGGTTTATGGGTTCGGTGGCGCGTATATTAAATTATATAATGGTTTATTGCTTCGGGGACGCGAATACCGCGTAATTTGCGAAGGTGTGTGGCCTCGGAGGCGCAACTTTTGCATAATTTACGTGGATTCATGCCCTCTGGGGCGCAATTACTTGGAAATGTACGAAGGTTTATTGCCTCGGGGACGCGAATATAGTGTAATTTGGGAGGGTGTGTGGCCTCAGGGGCGCAAGTATGGTTTAATTTAGAAGGGTTTATGGCCCTGGGGATATGGCTTCGTAGTCGCGACGATTATATAATTTACGTGGGTGTATGGCCGACTATGTGTACTTTACGGGCGTTTATAGCTTCGGGGACACGAATATCGTGTAATGTATAAGGAATTATGTCTTCGGGACCGCGACTACTGCATACTATACTGTGGTTAATAGCGTCGGGGACGCAAATACTATAATTTACAAGGGATGATGGCCTCGGGGACGCGACTATTGTGTAATGTACGAGGTGTCATGGCCTCGGGTACGCAAATATGGTATAATGTGCAATAGTTTATGGTTTCGGGAACGCAGATAGGTAGTAAGTTGCACGGGTTTGTGGCTTCGGGGACGCGATTATGGTGTAAGTTGCAAAGGTTCATTCCTTCGGGGACGCAAGTCTTGTATACTTTACAACGTTTCATGTCCTCGGGGGCGCGATCACCGTGTAATTTACAAAGGTTTATGGTTTCGGGGACGCGAATCTCAAGTACTCTATTCTGGTTAATGGCCTTGGGGGCGCGAATATATTGTAATATGCAATGGTTGATGGCTTTGGGGACGCGAATGTTGCAGACTTTAGATGTGAATATGGCTTCCGGGGTGCGGAGTTCGCATAGTGTTCATGGCTTCGGGAGCGCGATAATTGTGTAAGGTACGAGGATGTATGGCTTCAGGGGCGCGACTTTTGTGTAATTCACGATGGATAATGGTTCGGGGACGCGAATATGATCTAATTTACAAAGGTTTATGGCCTCGGGGGCGCGACTATGGAGCAATGTATCAGGTAGTCTGGATTCGTGGGCGCGAATCTCATGTTGCTTTACTTGTCCCACGACCCCCCGGGAATTCAGAACACGCGATTCGGGGGTGCTAACCAGGACGCTTTTCGGCTCCCCCCCCCTGGCGCGTTCAGCAACATCTTATCAGTAAGGAAGCAGAAAGCAGTACTGGAACCTGGAAGCTGCAACTGGAAAAGGGAACTGCAGCCCTCATCCTCGCAGCCTGATGGCCCCAAAGGGGGCCAACGGATACACACACATATATATAAGTATATACACACATTTACATACATGCAAATACGTACTCGTCGGTCATCGAATGTAGATTTTTCAGACTTCTGAATCCCAATCTGCTTCTAGCGCCTTCCTACTTCAAGCATCGACTACCCTTGCTGTATTATGTTATTCCCTGGGGGTACCTGAGCCCAATCTATTTTACCCGCCTTTAACATAGGTGTTTTTACTTGCTTCGTCCGACCGCCGTGTGCATCTATACATATTTATATAGACACGCGAATGGAAAGATAGTGACAGAGAAATAGCTATACATCCATATATATACACATATGTACATATACACATATATATATGTGCATCTATATATATATATATATATATGTATAGAATGAGAGAGAACGAGCGAGCGAGCGAGCCAGCGAGCGATAGAGACATCGCGAATCTATAGAGATAGAGATGGAGACAGAGAAAGAGAGAGAGAGAGGGAGGGAGAGGGAGAGAGAGAGAGAGAGAGAGAGAGCGCGGGAGACGGGCGCTGGGGCGCCTGTTGGCGCACGTTCGTCCGTATCAAGCTCGCTGCGTCGATCGCCAGGGCGCTGCTGGACGCGGCGCCGCCGGCAGCGCGGCCATGCGGGCCGATCCGCTGATGTATAATAGTAGTTCAGATTGACGGACGGTAGCATGGTCGAGAGAGAGAGAGAGACAAAACAAAAACACACAGATGCTCACGGACCTCCGAGGTGAGGGTTCGGCCTTGATGGCTGTGCCCCCCTTGCATTCAGTAAGGGCTGCTCCATAATGAGTTGTCGAGAAGGCTTCTGGGAAGTGCACGGAAGTCACGCGGGTTCTAATTCGTTTCTTCATTTTCCGTCCCAATCCCGCCAAAGGGGAATGCGTGGTCGCACCCATGGCCATGCAGCTCAAATCTTTTGCAATATTCATCATCTTTGCAGGCCTGTCTGTGCCATTCATCTGCGTAGACTCGAACGCAATCCCTGCCGAAGACGTACTGGCAGGGGTGCGATGATTTCGGCGCCGCATCGCTCGTTCCGGTCTCCTTTTTCCCTGTTCGTGTTTTGTCTTGATTCCCCAGAACGCGCCTCGTGCTCAGCGACTCAGCCTGTCAATCGCCGCTGGGAGAACACGACAGTTCTTGCGCGATCTCGCAGCGTCGGACTGGATGCTGCCCCCTCCATCCTCAGCGGCGGCAGTCGTCTCCGGGCGAATCGCGCCGCGCCCGTTGAGAGCGCCAGCTTCGCACGGCTCCTCCTCCTCCTCCTCCTCCTCCTCCTCTTCCTCCTCCTGCGCCGGTTCGTGACTGGGTTGAGCAGGGCCGCTCATGATCCGATTCGGTCTGGTTCGCTTTGATCCCAGCGGCGCCGCAACGGGCAGTCGCTAGCGGGCACTTTCTGGAGATTCGCCAGAAGTTGCCCTTTCTTGGGGGGCCTCTTCCTGGCACTGCAGCGTTGTCCCCGTCGGGGAGGCTTGGGGGTTCGCCGGGCCACTGGCCAAAGTGCCCGCTCGTGGAGTCCCCGTTGGAGGGGCGCCGAGGACCCCGGCTCCCATCCCGATCTCCGTCCAGCACGGGCGGGCTCCGTCGGCCTGCAGGGGCCGAGGCCGGCCCGCGCCCCCGAGGGGCTCGATGCCGATGCGAGCCGTGGCCGAGCCAAGCCCATCTCGCGACTCGATGTCCAGGTGGTGCATGCGGGGGGGGGCAGAGGAGGAGAGGGTACTCCAGATTTCGTAAGAAAGGGGGGGGGGTCCCATTTCGGGGGGGGGTCTCTCCCAGGCTATCTTGGAGGGCCTGGGGGGGTCTGGGGGCGATGCTTAGGAGGGTTCTCCCACGGGGGAGGTCTGAAACGGCTTGTCCTGGAGGGTCCGGACCCCCTCCCTTTTATATTACGAAATCTGGAGTACCCATGCTGCTACCCCTCGCCCGCTTGCCACTTTCTTGGGCCTCCTCGGAGGCCCTCGTCGCCACCTCTTGCGTTCGCCTCGGCATGCTGGTCAGAACGCGCCCCGGGAGACGTCCGGGAGGTGGCGGTAACCGGTACTTTCTGGTCTCCGCGGTGGGGCAGTTCCTCCGGACTCCCGTGCTCTCCTCCTCGGGGGCGGCCTGGAGAGGGGCGATGACTAGGGATGGATCTCATGTTATGGGCCATGATATTTCCCCAGATCTCATGGCGCCTCTTCTCATTGCATTACGTCCCTGGCCCCCCCCCCCTGGGCCGCGCACGTGCCGCCGGCCATGATTTCCCCCCCCCCCCCCCCCACCCCTCTTGGACGTCCCCCCTCCTCCTCCTCTTCCTCCTCCTCCTACTCCTCCTCCTCCTCCTCTTCTTCCTCCTGCTACTGCTCCTCCTCCTCCTCCTCCTCCTCCTCCTCCTCCTCCTCCTCCTCCCTCGCTGCGCAGTCCTCGTCCGCGAAGCTGTCCTCGGCCGTCTCCCGCTGGACCGACGAGGCCTGCCGGCTCGCAGGGGTGCCGAGGAAGGCATGACCAAGAAGGGAGTGAGTTTGCCCTGCCTTCCCTTTGCGAGGGGAGGAGGAGAAGGAGAGAGGGAGAGGAAGAGGGAGGAGGGGGAGGAGCGAGGAGGGAGAAGGGAGGTGGGAGGAGGAGAAGAGAGGATCTGGGACGGCATGAGATCATTCATGAGTGAATGCGCGTATCGGACTTGGCCGTAAGGCAATTTCGGAATGCTGAAAGGCCATCGTGTTTAAACATTCCACCCATGGCAGTTGACGCAGTGTACTGCCTGGTTGCCTCCCTGGCCACATCCTGGTACGACCCCCGCGCCATTTTGGCTGCGCCCCAACCCTGGTTGGTTAATTTGCATACCTGGTGATTCAGCTCCCATGGTATTCGCACGTTTGCAGTTTCCTGGCAGCCCTAGCAGCTTGCAGTCCCTACCCCCGGCGCTGCTGCACAGCTTCGGCGCAGTTGTTTTCTCCGGCTGTAGGTCCTGCTTAGCTCCGCGCGCGCGCCGGCAATTAGTTCGGCTCGTAGCCCGAGCCGACTCGACTCGCCGCTGGCGCCTTCGCCTGCGGATGCGACACAAAAGTACCCCCACCAGCTGGGCAATTAGGCCTCGCCCGTAGCCCGGGTTGACCTCTGACGCTGCGTGCGCCTTCGCTCGCGGCTGCGACGGAAAAAAAATCCCCACCAGTCCATTCAGAAACAGTTTGCAAGGCGAGTTGAGGCGTTGTTGTGAAAGGTTCTCGGCGGTCTCTTGCACCCATCTTCGGGTTTTCTGGAGGTCATCCTGGGGCCCTCTTGGGGCTCTTTTGGGGCCATCTTGGGGCCCTCTTTTGGGCCCTTTGGGTGTGTCTGAGAGGTCTCTTGGGGCCGTTTTGGCCCCGTAGCTCAAAAGGGAGGGGTCCTGAATTCAGGTCCCCTTCGGCGGCTCAGATATTGCCTCTTGGAGCCTTTTCGGGGCGCTCTTGGAGTGCTTTTGGGCGCTCTTGGGGCCCTCTTGGGGCCTTTGGGGCCCCTGTTGGGGCTCTCTTGGGTCGTCTAGGGTCCATCTAGAGGCCTTGGAAGCCCATCAGAAGCGAAAAGGCCAGAACGCACACATCATGGACATCCCAAACGTGTTGGAGCCATTTTGGATTCTTGGGGGGGTCCTTGGAGGGCCCGGCCTGGAGGGCACATCTTTGGGTCGTTCTGGGCCGTCTTCGATGTATGTGGGGGGCTATCTTGAGCCATCTTCAGCTCTCTGAAGCCAGCTTGGAGGCCATCTTGGGCTCTCGGAGTCCCTCTTGGAACCATCTTGGGCCATCTTGGACGCTCTAGTTCCTCGCGCCCCCCCCTCGCATGGCATGGATGGCTGCGGGATCCAGCTCGGAGGCACCGGAGCCGGCCCTGCGAGGCGCGGCTGGGGCGCGCGCTTCGGCCGACCGTCTCATCTCCGAGCTGCCGGCCGAGATCGGGCGACTTCGAGCTCGGCTGAGAGGAGGCCAGGCCTCAAGCGTGGTCGCTGTGGAGGTCGCGCGCCGCGAGGCCCTGGCCCGCCCTGCTCTCACGGCCCGAGTTTTCGGTCGTGAGGTACCTCAATAGGACCGGTTGGTGAGGAACGTCGCGCTTCACGCCAAGGCGTGCCCTTCCGCGGGGGCGCTAATGGCGGCCTGGCGAGGCGCGCAGCACGGCCCTCGGCTGGGGGCCGACGGCGGCGCGGAGTTGTGCGACTTCGGCGCCGAGGACCTCATTCCTTCTATTAGGAGCCTCTTCTCCGACTTCCCGCGGAAACCGCTGCCTCTCCCCATCACTGGTGGTTTCGTGCGGCGCGCGGAGGTACTGGAGGTTTTCCTGGCGCATCGTACTTGTGAACCACTAACTATGCCTTCGGGTTCATGTTTGAGTGAGAGAGCTGCAACCTTCATTCCGCAGGAGCGTTCGCTCCCGCCAGAGACGGGCCCGCAGCTGCGCGAGGACGCCGTGGCCTTCATACCTCAGGGAGCTGGCTGGGGGCCCCTTGCTCGGGGCACGCGCTGCTACTGCAGCGCCGTGGTTTTCTCGAGCACCCCTGAGCCTGTGGAGGTGCACAGGGAGCCATGTCGCCGGCCGAGGGCGCCCTGCAGGTGTATGCGGAGCCACGAGACGTCTGCGTGCACGAATGCTGCTGGTGGGCCCTCGGGTACAGAGCATCAGAAAGACAGGTATGGATTTCCTCGTGCCGTACCTGCTGATGGAGGCTTTCGTGGTATAAGCTCTGGAGGCCGTCCTTCCACTTGCACTGCCGAGCGGCCTGAGAAGGAGAGTTTTATCATCCCTCGGACGCGCTCCGATCACCAGGATTTCACCAGCACCCGCGAGCTGGAGCTGGTCAAGTGGAGGACCGACCTGTCGGAGCGGGCCGAGCACGTCAGGCCGCTGCGTCTCGTGCGGAGGCGGGCTAGACTGGGACGAGGCGGCCTTCATCGGAGATTGGGAGCAGGAGCTGCGAGACTGGAGGTCAAGATGTTCGGAGAGGGTTGCGGGCCCGAGACCATTTGTGCGTCGGCGCGCTCAGGTGGATGAGAAGGCACCCGTGGGTGCTGATCCGACGGCAGTAAATTCCAAGGTTGAGAGCGGTCTGAATGGTTTTCCTCTGTATCCCAGGCGCCTGCACTAGACCGGATTCCAATGGCTTTCGATAGTTCAACTTCCCCGGGGGCCTAAGGTCTCCTCGCCCTGGCCCCTGAGACTCGCGCCTCGCGAGGAGGCGGAGTGGTGGTGCAGGCTCTGCTGAGAGGCTGGCAGCTGCCCTGCCCTCCCTTGGTGCTAGCAAGGCGGGTTCTGGCCCTGGTGGCTCCGTCGTGTTGGCGCTAAGGGAGGTGCAGGGCGGTTGTCATCCTCCCTTGCTTTCCGTTCGCAGCCCCTTCGATCATGGATTGGTGGGAGTGAAGAGAGAGGCGCTAGGAAATAGCAGACCGTCTAGCTCACTCCCACCCGCCCTCCAAACAAATTAGCAACACCCGAGCCTAAGCATGTTCAGTGGTCGTCTTTGCATAACTAGTGGGATCCACATCCGACCACGTGTGCGCGATGCTGGGGCGAGGTGCGCCAAGCGTGCCAGGCGCGCCAGGCACCCCTGGGGCCGGAGCGTGCCAGGCATGTTTGGTTCGCCAGATGCGCCGCGTGCCTCCGCGGGCGCCAGGTGTGCCGCATACTCCACTCGCGCCAGGAGCGCCACGTTCGGAGCACATGCAGAGTGTTTCAGGTGCGCCTGCGCACGTGACAGCGCACATCGGGAATCATGTCGCCCCCCCCCATCCACGTCGAAAGCCAATGCCCATCATTGTTGTGTGTGTGGTGGGCCTGCGCGCAGCAGGTCATGTGCTACCCCTTGACAGTGACCACGGGGCGGCCGCGCATGATCCACGTTTAGCCGCGAGGTGCATTTGGTATGTTAATTTCAGGGATGGCATCCCTGCGCGCAGCAGTCAATGTGCTGACACCTCCGACGCCCCGATTAAAAAAGCAATGCTCAGTGCTCACGGGCCTCGCGAACATGACTCCAGATTTCGCCCCAACGTGTTTTATTCTTGTTGTTGACAGGGATGGTTTGGGGGGGCGCATCGGGTTGGCCGCGCATGTTTCACATGTGGAGGCAGAGTGTGTTTTGTATGGTATTTTGACAGGGATGGTGTGGGGGGCCTCATGGTCTCCTCACTGTGCCTGGTTGGTTGCCGGTCGCCTGGGGGAGGGGACGTATATTCATTGGGAGCAATGATAACCCCTCTCCCCGAGCAGGGGAAGGAGGGGTTGTGGAACAAGAGAAGACCAACTTCGTTAAACCACCTAGGCTTAAGTCGGGCGTGTCCCTCTACAGGAGGAATATTCAAAACTAGTAACTTATCCTGGCGAAGGACCCAACCATATGCAATTGTGGGTACCGCAGTTGTGAGCCCCGCCTTCAATGGAGCCCTCTGCGGGGCCACGAAACGCGTGAGGGGTGTGCCGAAATGGGTGATCTGCCGCCGTGCGAATCCTGCCAGTGGGGCCTTCGATGAAGCTCCTTGTGGGGCCACGAAACATGTAAGGGGTGTGCCGGAATGGGGCGGGGCCCCCATGCGAACTTTGCCACTGGGGCCTTCGGTGGAGCTCCCCATGGGGCCACGAAGCGTGTGAGGGGTGTGTTGAAATGGGCGCGGTGGCGCCATGCGAACCCTGCCACTGGGACTTTCGGTGGAGCTCCGTATGGGGCCACGAAGCGTGTGAGGGGTGCGCCGAACTGGGGCGGGGCCGCCATGTGAACTTTGCCACTGGGGCATTCGGTGGAGCTCCCCATGGGGCCACGAACGTGTGAGGGGTGCGCCGAAATGGGGTGGGGCCGCCATGCGATCTTTGCCACTGGGGCCTTCGGTGGAGCTCCCCATGGGGCCACGAAGCGTGTGAGGGGTGCGCCGAAATGGGGCGGGGCCGCCATGCGAACTTTGCCACTGGGGCATTCGGTGGAGTTCCTTATGGGGAAGCGAAGCGAAACGTAGGGGTGCGCCGAAATTGGCGGGGCCGCCATGCGAACTTTGCCATTGGGGCCTTCGGTGGAGTTCCCCATGGGGCAGCGAAACATGTGAGGGTTACGCCGAAATGGGGCGGGGTCGCCGTGCGAACTTTGCCAGGCCTTCACTGGAACTCCCCACGGGGCCACGAAGCGTGTGAGGGGTTCGCCGAACTGGGGCGGGGCCGCCATGCGAACTCTGCCACTGGGGCCTTCGGTGGTGCGCCGAAATGGGGCGGGGCCGCCATGAACTCTTTGCCACTGGGGCATTCGGTGGAGCTCCCCATGGGGCCACGAAACGTTTGAGGGGTGCGCCGAAATGGGGTGGTGCCGCCATGCGATCTTTGCCACTGGGGCCTTCAGTGGAGCTCCCCATGGGGCAGCGAAACGTGTGAGGTGTGCGCCGAAATGGGGCGGGGCCGCCATGCGAACTTTGCCACTGGAGCCTTCGGTGGAGCTCCTTATGCGGGAGCGAAGCGTGTAAGGGGTGCGCCGACACGGGGCGGGGCCGCCATGCGAAATTTGCCATTGGGGCCTTCGCTGGAGCTCCCCATGTGGCCACGAATCGGGTGAGGGATGCGCTCAATTGGTGGTCACGCGGAGAACAGAGGCACGACGCTGACGATGGCGATGTTGATGGCGCCGATGATGGCGATGGTGCCCACGATGATGGTGATGATGGTGGTGATGATGATGATGATGATGATGATGATGACGATGACGATGACGATGACGATGATGATGGTGCGAGGGGGAGGGAGTGGGCAGCGGGAGGAGGAGGGAGACGCGGGGCGCTGTCTCTTCAAAACGAGGACCCAACACCACAGGATGGTTGGGAACAAGTAGTATATTTCAACAGCATGTTTAAAGCATTTTTGGATTTGTGTGCTGGCCTCAGGCCAGTGCCGCCGATCCGGGGCAATCCGAATAATGATGATGTGGATGATGATGGTGTTGGTGGTGATGATGAATCTGATGATGATGCTGATGGTGGTGATGTTGCTGATGATGATGGATCTGATGATGCTGATGACGATGATGGTGATGATGCTGCTGATGATGGTGGTGATGATGATGCTGATGATGATGATGTTGCTGATGCTGTTGCTTATGATGATGATGTTGCTTATGATGATGCTGCTGATGCTGATGATCATGATCATAATCATATCATGGTCATGGTGATGATGCTGATGATGATGTTGCTGATGCTGATGATGTTGATTATGATGATGCTGATGATACTGATGATGCTGATGATGATGAGGCTGCTGCTACTGATGATGATGATGCTGTTGATGGTGATGATGCTGATGATGCTGCTGATGCTGATGACGCTGCTACTGATGATACTGATGACGATGATGATGATGATGATGATGATGATGATGATGATGATGATGATGATGATGATTATGATGATGATGGTGAATCTTGTGATGATGCTGATGATGCTCATGATGCTGTTGATGATGATGATGAGGATGATGATGATGCTGATGATGATGATGATGATGATGATGATGATGATGATGATGATGATGATGATGATGATGATGATGATGATGATTACGCCGATTATGATGATGTTTATCATGGTAATGGCCATGGGGCCATCTTGGGCGTCTTGGACCGATCGTTCGGTGATTCGGGGCTTTCTTGGGCCGTCTTGAGGGCCTCTTGCGGCCCTGTTGGCCCGTCTTGGGCCTCTCTTGGGCTCGAACAAGTCATGCGGGAACATCCTTGGGGCCCCAGAGGGCGCGCGGGGAGCTTCAAGAGATTTGAGAGCTTGGGGTCCGGGCCCATTAAGAATCCTCAGGCTTGAGGACTGAGGATCAGGGGATTGAGCAAGGGACCCGGGGAAGCCTCTTGGGGGTCGTTTTATGGCCTCTTGGGGCCTCTTTCGGGCCTCTTGGGGGCCTTCTGGGGCCTCCTGGGGGCTTCTTGGGGGCCTGTGGGCCCCCCCGTTTCAGAGCACTGAATGCGTCGGCAACGGCGTCCCGCCCCCCCCTCCTGCAGAGCGAAGCTCGAGCGAGCTCACGTCGACGCTTTCAGAAACTCACACGCCGGATCGGCGGATTTTCAATTTTTCGTCCAAAATCCGCCTGTAGGAGGACACGCCCGACCTGAACCTAGGCCCAGGGGGCTGGTGGGATTCGCTTTGGAAGAGTTCCTGCGACGTTTCGGACATGTCGTTCGTTCGTCTAGAAACATCGAAGCTGGGCTTCCCGTGTTTGATCAACACAGTGGAGGCCCATGTCAAGAAGCACCCTGCTCGCCTCCAGGGTGCTCCGGGTTTCTTGGGTCTCGATGGTTTTGCGATGGAGAGCGTGACGTTCCCACACCAAAAATCAGTGGACGTCGTGGGGTCTCAGGGTTGGGTTTCTTGTATAAGGTTTCTTGTGGTCGGGTCCCTAATGTGTAAGGTTCCAGTCCAGATGCAGAGTGATGGATTTTTGGGGGGTCGTGTCAGGTCGTGGCACCCTGTGTCACTGAAAGCGTGGCAGGTAATATAGCGCGTGGACTGTCACAATACACAGCGCGTATTATCCACCTGGATGCGCTATCTCGCACGCGCCCGGGAAGGGCCGAAACTTCGCGGCAGGCGATCTTACATGCCGGCTTTCCCCAGTTATTGTATCGTAGAGGCGCCTCTGCACACATTTCATGGTGCGCGCTCCTTTGGGATCGGTAGCGTCGAAGGTTGCACATTGACTTCCCGAGTTTGACGCCGAGTTGGAGATGCTTTGAGCTTCCGAGCAGTAGCTTTGTCCCGCGCCAGAGGGCCAAGCCACGTGCTAGATTGGGCCCCCCATGTTATTCATGCTGTTCCTCTTGCAGTTCACCTCTGCCAAGCTTTCTCCATGATGAGCTTGTTCTCGGCGCAGCCGCCCCCCCCCGCCCCCCCCTTCCGACCGTCTGCAGATACCGCTCCAGTACATCACAGATCCACCGCTGTTCATAGCCGAGCATTCCGACATGCAGGACTGGGATGGCGACAAGGGCGGCTGGATGAGGGGTGGACGACGAGGGTGTTCAGGAGTCGGGTGCCATGGCAACGCCCTTTGTGGGCGTGGCGCTTGGGTGGGGGTGTGCAGGTGGCAGGGTGTCAACCCAGTTAAGGTGGACGTCATATTGGAATGGCCAGGGTACACATCGGGTTCGGGACGTCGAGACTACGAGGCGCTGCTGTGCTTGGCGTCTTGGGAGATCGAGAGGACACGTTGGTATGAAGCGTAGCGATGCTGATATTCTGAGGCGTGAACATGTTCGAGCCTTGCGGCATGTCTGCGCGTTGGCTGGGTGCGTGGATTCGCGAGGGATGTCTGCTGGGGTAGCTTGACGCTGTTCGAGACGGTATAAGTCCATGAGGTGCTTCGGCCATTTGGAGTTGGGGATTTGTGTTGACGTTTCGAGTGTGGTGTTGCCCTGGAGAGTGGCAGATGTCTGTGCTGGCAGAAGTCCAAAGAAGTGTCGCCGCCGAGTTGCTTCCCAGGCAGCTCGTTGTTTGAAGCCGACAATATTTTGCCACGAACATGTAAAACTAGCATGGTCAGAGTGTGTACACTTCAGGTATCTTGAGCTTGTAATGATCATGCATGCAATCGCCGCCTCCTTCGCCGTGCTTGCATGTGTCCTCGCAATTCCCACGAGATATGTCGATCCAGAGTGTTCGTTCGTGTCGGTGCTCTGTGACGCTAGTCGACACTTCTCCCATGTTTTTCAACGGGAGAGATCGTGACCAGAATGCCAGTTCGGCACTGCGGGGGCTGAGGCGATGCGGCCTTCGCCGAGCGGCACACTTGGTATCATGATTCGTCACAGGTTTACCCTCCTCCCTCTTCGGCCGATAACGATGGGAGCCAGATGGCTGAAGCCAGAGCGGCTACGGCACGCCCTTGTCATCCGACCTTCCCAAGCCCTGGGGGAGCATTTAATCCGTCTTGGCATCGCTCGGACGTGTGCGTTTTTTCCTCGGCGAGGACCATCGAGGAGCATCCTTGATCATTTCGCGAAAAAACCACGCGCGAAACCGAAAAAACACACAGGAAATGGACGTCCGAGCGATGGCCAGCCCTGTGTACCCTGCTCCGAGCAGTGTGGGCCGGAGCTGGCGGGGAAGCCAACCTGCGCCTGCCGACGGCCAGGCCGTGCCCTCCCGTCGGGCAAGCTCCCACCGCGAGCGAGCGACCTTTCATCCGATGCTTCTGTGCAGTGCCATTTCGGCTGAAGAGCCCCTGGAGGGCGAAAGCTACCTGCGCTTGGCACACAAAACACATCAGCATCCGAGCAGGCTTGATAGTCCTTTCGATCGGGGGCTCTGCTGCCTCCCACCACCCTCCACACTTACACGAGAGGACGACTCCGAGGCGGGAATTTACACATGACCCCCGCCTGGAGGTTCAGCCTTCGGAGCCTCGGCAGGCGGTGGACATGGACACATTCGGGTCCCCTGGGGCCGAAGCATATCCATATCCACCGCCCGCTGGGGCACCAGGACGTCAGTTCCTAGGCGGTGGATATGGAGAGTTCCCCGCCTCGCAAATACTACTCTCCTCTCTCTCCTGATGACGTCCGGAAGATGTCCGGCCCCCCTCCGCGTCCTGTTCTTTTACGCACAGGATTCCCGGGACGTGGGTTTCCGCTTGGTTTTTGGTTTCGCAATGTTGCTCCAGCTGAGGCGCCGGCCCCACTTCTGCGCCTCTGGCTGTTCCAAATCGTGTTCAGCGCGGGCCTTTTCGGTTCTTCCAGATAGGCCCCAAAATCTAGAAAATGCCCCACCGAATAAACCATCGGAAGTGACTGCGCGCTCGGTGTTGATTCGTCGAATTTTGGGGCACCGTGGGGCGTCGTCGTCGTTTTCAGGACGTATCTAACGGGAGTCTCGTTTCTGCTTTGAGAAGGCGATGTTGGAAGCAGAGCCAGCGGGTGCTCTCCATCAACCCCGCCTTGTGTGGAGCTTTTCGGGGAGCCACGACTCCAGACCAGCCCAGACCTCTCGAAGATGATCCACTTAAACTACAAGGAACCCGACTCCATGCCATGACATGTTGTGCGGTGTTGCGTTCTGCACCGCTGTGCGATGCCATGTTTTGCGTTGCAATGCCTTGTGATGCAAAGCTTCACTGCGCAATGCCACGCCATGCTATGGCATGCTATGCTATGCCGTGCTCTTCTACGCCATGCCATGCCGTGCTCTACCATGCATCGCGTACACTCGCGATCGTTGCCCTGCTCGATATCCGAGTGTGCGAATAGAGAGGATATCCACGCCATGGTAAGGAATGGGAGGGAGGGGTAGGACGTCAGATATGAAGCGAGCGCACCTTGCGTGTCCCTCTCCCCCTCTCCCCTCCTCTATTGCCTCAGCCACATACCCCCTCATCGCCCGAATCGCCGTCTTGAGGCCCTCTTGGGTGCCTATTGGGCCGTCTTGGGGCCACAGTGGATGCCGATTGGGTCGTCTTGGACGGACGGAAGCCCGATCGAACCCTCCTTGGGGTCCTCTTGAAGCCATCTTGGACCGTCCTGGGGGCCTCTTTGGTTTGTCTTGAGGCCAGCTTGGGACGTATTGGAGCCATACCCAGGCAGCTCCGTGATGTGGGGGGATGCACGCAGACCTGGGTGTCGAGGGGGTGTGGCGGGGGGATCCTCAGAAGACTCGGGCACCCACATGGCATATTGCCGCGTTTCGACCTGCCAGTGGGCGCGGTGGCTGATTTTCAAGCCTGGCTTTGGAGGCCCGGGCGTCTTCATCCAGGAGGCCCCAGACCCTTGGATCCGGCGCCTCAAGAAAAATGGAGACGCCGTGAAAAATCGCGCCTGGAACCCTCGACCCCATCATTGTTGCGTCATTTTCCGAGCCGGATCGATCTGTGAGGGTCCCGGGGCCCGAGAAAGAAACAAAATCGCCGGGCTCGAGAAAATGGAGACGCCCGGATCTCAGGAGAGGTCGAGCGAGCTTTTCCCCACAGAGGCCCCGCAGACCCCTACAGGATATTCCAAAATAGTAAAAAATGCTCAGGGGACGATTCTTCCAGTAATTTTTGATTATGTATGAGTTTTTTTGGTTTGATTATTGTGAAGGCCTTACGGCTGGTGTTGCCGACCTTGGAGGCCTGGGCTCTCGACGGGAGTCGGAGGGAGAGGACGGGGAACAAAATCTTTGCCCAACTATTCGGATCTCGGGCGTTGGTGCGCTGTGGATGGCGGCTTGGACAATTTGGGCGCGCTTCTCTTCGACTCAACTACGACGTTGTTCAATTTCGTTGAAATTGGCGCGCCTGAGGAGGAGAGCCCAGGGAGGGATCGCCAGGGGGGGGGGATGGTATTCTGGGGCAGGGCCGCCCCCCCCCCACCACAGACCCGGGACCTCCCCCCCTGCCGTTTCCTTGTGACCAGCGCGCTTGAGGAGGAGAGCCCGGGGAGGGATCGCCAGGGGGGGCACGGCATTCTGGGTCGGGACCCCCCCCTCCCCCACATACAAGGGACCCCCCCCCCCGGAGGGGAATGGATCAAAGGGGAGAGGCTACCTTTCGAGTCAGCTACGACAATGTTCAGTTCCGTGGTGACTGGCGCGCTTGAGGAGGAGAGCCCAGGCTGGGATCGCCAGGGAGGGATGGTATTCTGGGTCGAACCCCGCCCCCCCACAGACCAGGGATCTCCCCTCCCTCCCGGCGGGGAAGGGATGAAAGGGCAGGGGCTTCCCTTCGACTCAACTACGACAAGGTTCAATTGCGCCGGAAGGGATCAAAGGGAAGGGGCTGCTCAGGGGACGATTCTTCGACTAATGTTTGATTCTTCAAGCTTACGCCACATCCGCCGACCCCTTGTTTTTTTTTCTGGGGCGATCGCCGGTTTTGGGAGGGGCTCTGTTGGAGGCTCTGTGAGGCGGCCGGAGGGGTTCATGAGTGGTCTGGATGTCATCTTGGTCGATCATTTTTTTTTTTGGTTCTTCTTCCTTTCTCTGGCGCGTCGGGGTCCTCTTGGATTGCCTGTGGGCCTTCTTGGGAGGTCTCAGGGGTCGTTTTGGAGCTCCGGAGCGAGCCCATGGACTTGGGCGCCTCGTGGGTCGTCTTGGCGCCCTTTTGGGGACGTCTTGGGAGCCTCTGGGCCCTGGACGGCAATGCGGGACGACGTCGCGTTCACACTGCGACGCAAAGAAGGGCACCCTGAAATGCAAGACATGCAAATGATGTCCAATCGGACGCGCGTACTGGGGAGGAAAAGGAGGAGGGGGAGAAGAGGATGGGGGGGGTGGCGGAGGATGGCGGGGAGAAACATCGAAGAGGATGAGGTGAAGCGGACAGGAAAAGGAGGAGGGGGACGAGGAGGAAGTGGAGGAGAAGGAGGGGGAGGAGGGGACACTGAGATGGGCCTCTGGGTCATGGGTTAGAGCTTTCTTGCGTGTGTAACGGGATCTCTTGGGGGGCTTCTCGTGGGACAGTTTCGAAGCCTCTTGGGAGCCGTTCTGGGGCCTTGTGGGGCCCTCCTGGAGGCCTTTTGGGGCTTCTTGGGGGCGTCTTGGGAGCCTCCTGTTAATCAGCTATGCCAGTTGTCAATAAACTGAAGGTGCGCGGCGTTCAATCGAGCTTCTCGGGCTTACGCCACACCGTCGACCCCTCGTATTCTTGGGGAGTCCGACGTTGGAGCGCTCCTCTTCTCCTCCTCTTCCTCCTCCTCTCTTTTCGTCTCCTCCTCTTCCTCCTCTCCCTTCTCTTCCTTCCAATTCGTCCGCCAGGGGGGCTGGAGTCTTGAATGTCCCGAACGAGTGGTACCAGGAGAGTCGTTGGGGCCCTCCTCTTTCTTCTTCAGATGGGGTCGAACGATCCACTTCCTAGTGTGAGTCGTTGTGGGCCGTCTTTGGAGCCTCTTGGGCCCTTCGCCCTCTTGGGCTGTCCTGGGCGCCTCGTAGCAGCGTCTTGACCCCCCCGGGGGATCCGGCGCATCCGGCCGGACCCCCCCCCCCTCCAAAACGACCGGACCGGGCTCCTGGGGACGGGATGGATAAGGGGGACGTGGAGGAGGGAGGATGGGGGAGCAGCCAAAGGCGGAGAAGGTGAAAAGTGAGCCAGTGGAGGGAATACGAGACAGAAAGCTGAGAGGGGAGACGGGAGGAGGGGGCGGAAGAGGAGGATGAGAAGGAGCAGGAGAACACGACGAGGACGACAATGGCGGCGACAGACTCGACGGCGTAGGCTGGGCACCTTTTTGGGGCCATCTTGGGGGCTTCGTTGACCGTTGTGGGAGCCTCTGGCGCCGTCGTCGTGAGAATCCTCTCGGGGGCCTTCCTTCTGGGGGGGCAGCTTGGGAGAGAATCCTCTCGGGGGCCTGCGGGAGGCAGTTTGGAGGCTTCTGGGGAGCTGTTTTGGGGCAGCTTGGGGCTTTTTTTGGGCTTGTTGGGGGCCTCTTGGGGGCTTCTTGGAGCCTCTTGGAGGCCTCTTGGGGCCTCCTTGGCGCCTTTTGGGGCGGAAGGCTAGAATTTTAGGTTCGTGGTCCCCGTCTGGAGCCTTTCTTGGGCCCCTCTGTGGGCCCTCTTGGACTGTCTGAAGGCCCTCTTGAGCCGTTTTGAGGCGCTCTTGGGCCGTGTTGGGGCCCACTTGGGAGCCTCTCGGGTCGTCTTGATGCCGTCTTGGGGGCTTCTTTCGCCGTCTTGGAGCGTCGGAAGCCCGAAAAAACGCGAAGGCCAAAAACGTTGAAAAAACCAATGGAAATCGACGATTTTGGCCTCTTGGGGCCATCTTGGGAGGCGTCTTGGAAGCTTCTTGGGGCGTCTTGGAGGCATCTGGGGCCATCTGGAGGCCATCTTGACCGTCTTCGAGTGTTTTTTCGGCGACTCGGGGCCCTCTTGGACCGTCTGCAGAGCTTCTTGGGAGCCTCTTCGCTCGTTTGCGGCCCCCCCAGCAGACTCTCTGGAGCGGATGACCCCCCCCGGACCGCGCCGGCGGATCCCGGGGAATCCGGCCGGACCCCCCCCCCCCCCCCTCCAAAACGACCGGACCAGGCTCCGGGGGGAGGGGTTTGGGGAGGGGGGAAGCATCTCACACGCCGATGACCCCAAGGGGTCGGCGGATTGTGTTTGGAATCTGCTTGAATTATTTTGAATTCTTCCTCCAAGATCTGCCTGTGGGAGGAGATGCCCGACCTAACCCTTGGAACGTTCGGATGCGGCGGGCGATCCAGCACGGGGGCTGGCGCCACGCGGGACATCTCACGTGGCGCGGGTGGCGCTCGACGCCCTCGCGCGCGCATGCTGCAGGCTTGGAGCGATCGCACCGAATTGCCCCCCTCCCGCTGGATGCGAGCGCGCTGAGCACCCCCAGAGGTCCTTCCCCCCCCCTCTCGGCGGCGCGCGAGGGGGGGGGGAAGCGAGAAGGAGAAGGCCTTCTGGCACACTCCCAGGTGCCAGGGTCGCGGGCACACAGGGGTTCACAAGCAGTGCGGGGCGCCGCGGCTCTTATTCGGACACCGGAACGGGCCGACACAGAAAAGCGGGCCAGGAAGGGCCAGAAACGGGCAAGAGACTTCTCAGAAGGCGGCGGGACTTCTCGGACGCCCTCGAGACTTCTGAGAGGTGTTCTGCGCCTTCGGGGACGGCCGAGAAGACTTCTCAGACGGCCAGCGACTTCCGAGAGCCTTCTGAGAATTGCCCGCCCCCCCTCTCGCTTCCCTCTATTGGGCTCGCCGCCGATCTTCCCATCATCTCTGGGCCTCCTAGCTGGGGTCCAAAGTTTGGGGGTCGGAGGATCCCGCCGCATCGCCGATGCATCGACGGTGCGGCTCGATGTGGAGGCTGTGCTTCCCCACGCCGACGTCGCCGATGCATCGGCGATGCATCGGCGATGCGGCGCGATCCTTCGACCCCATCTGCTCGGACCCCATCCAGGGGCCTCTATCATCGGGATTCACGTCCGCTGGCTGCTCCACAGCGCGAGCGGTTCGATGGATATCTTCCACTGCGCGGTAGGTGGTGGACAGCCCCGATGTCCTGGCTCTGCGCTGCAAGTGCATCAGCGCATCAGGCTCACGAGCCTCTCGGCCACGCGCAGAGGGGGGCAGGGGGGAGCACCCCTGCTTCTCAGAAGGCGGGGGCCTTCTCTACAGATGCGCAATGCAGGGTCGGCGCCTTCTAAGAAGCAGCCCTCTTCTGAGAAGCCTTCCCCCCTCCCTCTGCCCCCCTGCGTGCGCCGCCAACCGCTCCCGCCGGCTGGCCGCCGTGAACTTGCTGCCTTTGAGGCGAGCGGCTGCGAACCAGCTGTTTGCAGGAGGGCTGCACCTGTGTTGCCCCAGCCCCGCCCATGGCTGCCTCCGGCCGTGGGAACTCTCGGGGGGGGAGGTCAGCAGAGGTGCCCGAGAACCATCGGGGGATCTGTGATGGATGGCCCTGGGCATCCGCAGAGGCTCGTGGGGCTTGGAGCAATTCCCTCGCTCGCCTCGCACAAGCACGAGCGGCCATGTTGTGTCAGTCTTGCCGTATTGCAGTGGGGACCCGTACCAAGAAGCATCCTGCTTGCCTCCGGGGTGCCCTGGGTTTCTTGCGTGTTCGATGGTTTTGTGGTGGAGAGCGTGACGTGCCCACACCAACAAATCAGTGGACGCCCTTGGGTCTCAGGGTTGGGTTTCTTGTGGTCGAGCCCTTACTGTAGGGTGTCCAAGGATGGGGTGGGGCGAGACTGCTCCCTTTAGGTCGGGCATGTCCTCCTACAGGTGAGTTTTGGAAGAAAAAGTAGAAATAGACACGACTATTCCCAAATATTCAAAAATGGTAAAGCATCGTCCGCGGATTATTTCTGGACTATTTTTGAACATTCTTCCTGTAGAGGGACAGGCCGACTTAATGCTCCATCTCTGCTCAGTCAAGCTAACACCAGTAAGTGTTCGACGCCCCGCGTGGCGGCGCCGAGGAGCCGCCGAAGGGCAGCGTGGTGCACCGCTACTGGAAGGAAGCCTCCTCCCACCCCTTCCTCCTCCTCCACCACCTCCTCCTCCTCCTTCCTCCTCCTTCCTCCTCCTTTCCTCCTCCTCCTCCCCATCCTCCTCCTCCTCCTCCTCCTCCTGCTCCTCCACCTTCTCCTCCTGCTCCTCCTCCTCCTTTTTTCTCCTCCTTCTTTCTCCTCCTTCTCCTTCTTTCCCCTCTTCCTCCTCTTTCCTCTTCCTCCTCCTCCTGGCAATTTGGGTGCCGCGCGCGGTTGGAGGAGGAGAGGGGAGGGCGAGGGGGACAGTCAGAGGAGGAACAGGTACTCATACCCCTCCGCTCCCCCTGTGTTCGCTTTTTTGGGGGCCTCCTGGGAGGCCCTCGTCGCCACCGCTGGATCCACCTCGAAATCTTGGTCAGAATGCATCCCAGGAGAGGTCCGGGGAGTATCGGTATCGGTACCTACTGGCTTCCCCAGAGGAGAGGGGAGGGCGAGGGGGACAAGAAGGATGATGAGGATGAGAACCAGAGTGAACCCAGGCTGCACCAGCGATGCTGCACCGATCCCTCCCGTCTCAAAGCCCCTCGGATGTCCCTGCGAGTCTTTGTTGCCGGCACTCGGGTGAGACCCCGTTGTGTGCAGGGCCCACCCTCCGCCCTCACCCCCCAATCCTTCCAGCCACAGTCAGGCGATCGCAAACATGGATCAAGGGGCGTGGAGTAGCGACGGGTCCCGCTTCCACGGGGAATCGCGGGTTTCCGCCGCCCAGCGAGGCGGCGTTGGCCGCATTCTGGGGAGGGCACCTCCCTCGATCCATGGATCTGGCGACCTCGCGCCAAATCCACGGATCGCTAATCCATGTTTGCGCGCCCCCGATCCTCACCCCCCATCCTCCCTGCCACAGTATACACAGACATGTCGGATAATACAGATGAAGGACGTGTGCACCGATAGCCCAGTTTTGACAAAGATCAGCCATCCGTCCGTGTCAGAGCTCACAAGACCGAAAGTGCAGGTCATACAACTCGCGGAAGCCTCAAGCGAGAAGCTTTCCATCAGTGTACCAGGTTCGCAATTTGGAGTTTCGGGACATAGATTTTGAAGATGCCTCAAGCGATCACCGCATTTTCAAACCGACCCGCCCTCCACTGGCGTACTGTTCAACATGTTCGAAGCGAATGTGCGCGGCACTACGCCGTGAGCTACATTTTGAACATTTTTTCACGCTTTGTGTACCCACACCGGCTCATTGAGAAACCAAGCCCCAGCGAATTGACGGGAAAAGGGACGAGGAGGAGGAGGAGGATGATAACGAAGAGGAGGAGGAGGAGGACAGCACCCTCAGAATCGCCTCTTGGAGTCCTTTTCGGACTCTTTCGGAGGATCTCGGGGTCCTCGTGGGGGTTTTGGGGGAGGTCTCGGGGCCCTCTTGCAGCCCTCTTGGGGGTCCTTTGGGAGCCCTGGAGGGCGTCTTTTGGGCCATCTTAGAGGCCATCGATCAAAAGGAGGGGGTCACAAATGTTCCTCCCCTGGGGCCATCAACATCGCCTCATCGGGGCCCTCTTTGGGTGCTCTTGGGGTGCTCTTGGGGCGCTCTTGGGCGTTCTTGGGGCCGTCCGGGGGGGCCTCCTGCGCCCCTCTTGGGACTCTATGGGGTCATCTTGGGACCATCTTGAGGGCCCCCAAGCGCATCGGAAGCGAAACGGCGTGAGCGCAACAATCATTCATGTCCATCTGGGTTTTGCATGATCTTGGCCACTTAGGGGGGTGCAAGAGCATCAGCAGCAGGCTGCACGCCATGTCGTTCCTTCATTCACTGACCCTTGGTGTGCTCCCAAGCCAGCCAGTGGTTTTCATCAGGAGTTTACGTACCACCGCCACTGTCCCGTCGGCATCCTCAGTTCGGAGTCTCTGCCTTAAAGAAGATGGACCCAACGACATGATCTCAACCACAATCTACCGTCCTGGAAGCCCACGCTGCATAGTGTCGGCCGGCTCGACGCGAGATGGGATTTACACCATGGATACGTGATGGGCTGACGATGCAACGAGTGTGGACCAACATATATTTCCACACGTCAGTGTTGTTCGCCATACGGTTGCAAGGACATACGAGACCACCGCTGACACATTTATCATCGCCCGAGATGTAGATCAAGAGACCACGTGAATATTGAACAGCCGCTTACGCACGTGAAAGTCTATCCACGAATCATTGTCGGACGCTGGCCAGGCAAGGGCCTGAAGCTGTCTGGACCGAGGCCCAATGCAATCCCGCAATCCCGATGGCGAGGCCAACCCTGTCTTTTTCCTATGGCGATGCCGATGGCGAGGCCGATGACTGGTTTTCCCGGACTGCAATCCCGATAGTGATGCCGATGGCGAGGCCAATCCCGACTGCAATCGAACATCGCGCCCATCGAGATCTCCTGTGGCATCCGCCCAATTCACACGTTCCTTTCTAGGACATGTCAACATACACCGCTTCGGAGTCGTGCCCTAGGATTTCGAGGACAAGCGAATCGGGGTATTTGCCCGCCTGCGAGGGTGGGCAGATATTTGTACTCAAGGCTCCCCGCGATCCTGGGACACGATTTCGGGGAGTGGATATTTCTGGACGTGTCATTTTGGCGGCCCACAAGTGGGTCCCCTTGATAGATTTCTCCTGGTGTTCCTGCCTCGGGGCTGCTGCGCACCCGCCTCGGGGCCTGCTGGCTCTCTTTGCACTGGTGCGTTGTTTTATCCACGCTGTTGGCAAACGCCCCCGAAACCAACAGCATGTTTCGGACTCTCTGCGCGATGGCCGCTGGCAGCGCATCCTCGGGCTGCTGGATTGCTTAGTGATGTTCGCTCCTACAAGTGATCGTTTGTTATTCATTGTTCTGCCGATCGGCGCGGGCCCCAACCCCCCCCTCCCCCCCCATGGAGTAGATCTTGGTTGTTTTTTGGCGCCTGCTTCGAGTGGGTGGGGTCTCCCCCAGATGCCGCACTCTTGCAAGTAGTCGCGCTGAGCAGAGGTCCGGAGCGGCCCTTCTCCGCCCAATGTCGAAACGCAGAGGTCTGGAGCCGGCCCCCCCTCCTCTCCGCCCAATGCCGAAACGCCGCATGAAAAACGCTCACCAACAGGTCCGATATGCCGACGCAAGGGGGTCTCCGCTGCCTGCCACCATCCTAGGGCACGCGTATCGAGAAGGCCTTACGGCCGGTGCCGCCGACCCTGAAGACGACGACGACGACGAGGACAAGGAGGAGAAGGAGGAGGTAGGAGGAGGTAGGAGGAGGAGGAGGAGGAGGAGGAGGAGGAGGAGGAGGAGGAGGAGGAGGAGGAGGAGGAGGAGGACAGTGCGGACAGTGCCGAGAGCGTGCAGGTGAATCACGAACACGCCTCGAAAAGGAAAGGGACGAGAGAGAGACCCTCATCCAACAAGGGGCACTCTCCGCGCCGTGCGCGGGGCCGGGGAGCAACGGTGCGAGGGTCACTAACGGCGCACCGCCGGGCAGTCCCCACTCGCACCGCGCCCCCCGTTGGGTAGACAAACCCACGCCTGTACTTCCGCCCACTATGCAGGTGCCTCGGGCTCGGGCGCCTGCTGCGGCATCGCAGGCTCCCCGAGCTCCGAGAAGACGAGCGGCTCGAGGGGCTCGCCCGTCTTGGGATGCAGGCCCCTTCGAGCCTGCTCGAGCATCGACGCGATGGCTCCGTCCCCCCCACTCCCAGCTCCCGCCGACCCCGTCCCAGCCCTCTTGCACGCTCGAGACAGGCCGACCGACAGCCGATTGGGGCGCACAGCGTGCGCCCCGCACTTTACACAGATCAAAACTCGATCCAAGGCCTGGACCTGGTGTCCTGGCCCGACCTCCTGGGGGTCGCATGCACGGGAGGCCAGAGACTTCAACGACGAAGCCGTCGCTGCAAGCCTCCAGCAGGCACGACAGCGAATCGCTCCCCCAGCGAAGACCACAAAGTCGTGATCGGTCGGCCGCCGCGGACGGCGGGGCCGAAAGACAGCCTTCGGAGGCGCACGGAGTATCGGGGTGGAGAGGCGGGCCACGCGCTCGGCAGCCCAGGCCAGACAACGCATCGTGTCCTGGGCCCGAAGCAGAGAAAATTTGTGAGCCTTGACCACGGAGGTGGATCCAAGGAAATCTGCCGCAGCCACGCGGGCGAAAACATCAGCCCACATATTACCGAAAAAATGCTCCAGGGGCTCCTGGGAAGCCAGGCAGGCATCAAACCCCTCGATGACGGTCCGATGGGCCTTCGTCCAAACAAACACGGGCCTGACAGGGTCGCCTCTATACAGCTCGTGGATGCTCCGCCAGATGGACGCGTGAGGCGCTCTGGCAGAAGCATGACGACCCTCCCAGGCCATTCCCTCGACCTGCAGCTGTAAATGATCAGTCACGTACGTGGCTGGCCTCTGGGCCCTCTGCAGGGCCTTGAGACCAGCAACGCGCTCGGCCCTGGGCACCGTCTGGATAGGGCCCCCCAGGCTCCCGAACAAAGCTTTGTATGGCCACAGGTCTCGGGTCAATGCCACGACGGCCCAGCCACAGCGCCGTTCCTCAGGGAAATCACTTTCAAGACAGGACCCGTCCCCGTACAACTTCGACGGCCACGGCATGTCGATCGCCCCCCACTCGCGCTCAGCCTGAGCACGTGCAGGCAGCGGCCTGAAAACAGGCCTCAGGGGCAGCGCGTAGAGCACGTCGATGGCCGAGAAGTCCTGCACCTGGCCCCCGTCGCGCCACGGGGCTGCCTCCAGGATGTCCTTCCTCCTCTTGGCCACCTCCTCGGGGTACGGCTCCGTCTCCTCGTCCTCCTGCTGCTGATGCAATACCTTGCAGCCGAAGATCTCATGCTCGAGGTCGCAGCAGGCCTCCCCGCAGAACTCGCACGAACCGTCGCCGCCGTAGCCAGCCTGCATGCGGCGCTGCGGCGACCAGAACCCGTTGGACTGCAGCTTGGCCAGAGCCCCTCTGTGGCCAGGCGCCAAGGAAGCGTGTCCCAGTCGAAGCGCACGAAGCCACACATGCTGCTGCCGCCTGCCGTCACCATCGGCTGGGGGCGCCTCAGGCAGCTGGTCGAGGATACGATGGCTCTGCCAACGGTCGAGGCTGCGACGCAGGAAAAACAGCACCTCACTGGGACAATACTGCAGCAAACTGATATGCAGGCCCTCATCGTCAACCAAGATAGTAGAACTTGCCATGTTCCAGTTGACTCTCCTGAGGGACAACCACAAAGCCGACAGCGGGCCCTGCGCACTGGCCCACGTGACGTGAGTGTGGCGGGCTTCCCAGGAGTCACGCAAGCCCATCCAGGCCCGCTGCAGTCGGGAGAGCGTCACACGCCCATCCCACACCCACGCCGCGTACTGCCCCACGATGCTGAAGGTAGCGTGGAATATGGGGTCGAAGTTCCACTGCTGCGCGGCCAGGTACAGCGTCAGGGAGCCCGACCCCTTGTAGCCACAGAAGACGCCAGCCATGGTCCTCATCTGCTGCAGCTCCGTGTCGCTGATGCCGCTGACCGTGGCTCCGTGCCCCACGGATGGCAGCACACCCGTGGCCCAGAGCCGAGCCGCCCGCTGTCGTCCTGCTCCCTTCTGCAATGCTCGAACGCTGGCCTTCTTGCCGTGCATGGCCTTCAGGCGTCCCTTCTGCACGGCCCTTGTGGCCGACGACCCAGCTAGGTCGTGGCCAAGATACCGCATGTGCCTCTTGCCAGCGATCTTCAGCAGCCTAGCGTACTTCTGAAAGTGGTAGCTGGTGCGCCTGGACGTCGTTAGGTGCCCAGACTTATCCATCTGCAGCACCAGCCCGAGGGGCCGGACAGCCCTGCAGAACGCACGAGTGGCAATGGCCATTTCTCGCACCCCGCTCGGGTCGTTGCCGACCCAGCACAGCGCGACGTCGTCCACCAAGTCCTTGGGCTGAACCTGAGGAGCGACCGACATCGTCTGGCGAATGCTGCGAGTCAACAACACCATGAGAAGCGTAGTGGCGTGGGTGCAGCCTGCCAGGATGCCCTGATACGCCCTGCGCGCCACTGAATACGAAGAATACGAGTACACCGAACGCAGCTGCTGGTACATCTGCACAAGCATGAACGCCATTCGCATAGGATATCCATTGGCCCTGCACTCCAACAAAATGGCATCATGCCTGACCAGCTCGTAGCATTTGAGCATGTCCAGCAGCACAATGATGGCGTCGTCATCGCACAGGGTCGCCATCTCCTTGGTGAGAGCCAAATCAAAGGCCGCATCACTCGACGACTTGCCTCCAGTGTGGCCCCAGACCTCTGGGAGCGCATGGGCCTTCTCCCACGCTGCCGAGACAGGCCGCCTCGCCCGTCCCCAGATCCTGACCAGCGTGTTCATCAGCACAATCAGGCGCTCCCCACCCCCTGGCTTGGGGAGTCTCACGAGCTTCGAGAGGAATCTGCCGTCTGGCCACAGCAGGAGGTGCTCGCACCGCTCGAAGAGGCGCGCCATGGCCGTCAGCGCCCCGTGGGAGAGGTGCTCCATGGCCCTGGGCGCGATGTTGATCTGCCCGACGCCTGTCTGCCAAGAGAAACAACGGATTGCCTTGAGTACGTCGGCCGCCTCAAGCCTTGGCAGCTGCTCCCAAGTGTCAGCATCAACAGGTCGGCGAGCCAGCTCACCGCCATGCCGCACCCAGAAGCTTTCCCAATATTCAAGCTTACGATCAGCCAGTACGTACCCATGTTGTAGCCCATTGCCTCCGTCCACGATCTCCTGGAGAGCCTTGGGCTTCATGAATCGGTGAGCTCCCTTGGCTCCAGCCACAAAAGCTGCCTGCGCCCACTGCCTCCAGCTCTGCATCACGGCCTTCTCATGCTTGGCCTCAGCATCGGAGGAGATACTCAGGATGCGGTCGACCTGCTGCTCGAAGTCTGCCTGCGCTAAGGCAAGTATGCCACGCGAGAAGAAGCCGACGGCCTCGGCGTCCAGGTGCGGCCAGACTCCCTTCCTCCGCCAGATTCTCTGGAAGAAATTCTCGCACTCCAGCAGGTGGCGCGCCGCCTTGGAGTGCACGGCGTCCCACGATAGGTCCTCGCCTGCACGTCGCGGGGGCTGGTGTCGCTGAGCTCTCGACCGAGGCCGACCACCATCGGAGGAGAGACCAGCCACTCCGACGACCTCCGCAGCAGGGGGTGCACCATCGCCCAGGCCAGGCACTCCGTCGACGTGCGCCTCGCCGACGCTGCCGAGCTCGAAGACCTGCTGCGGGCGAAGCTGGAGCACGAAGCTCTGCAAGGCCACTCGAACCCTCCTGAGGTGACGAGCCCAGCGCGCAGCCTGCGCCCAGGCCTGGGTGTCCGCCGACCTCCTGCTCCAGGCACCTTTCACGACAGGGTGAAAACTCGCCAGCTCGAAGGTTGGGGGGCCTGGCACCGTGGAGTACTCCGCCACGTCATTCACGAGGTCGTAGCGGCCCCGCAGCTCGAACTCGATGCCGCTGAGCACGACGTCCCAGGCCCTGGTGATGCCCTCGCTGTCCGACGCACTCTGGATGATCGCCAAAATCGGGTCCCAGTCGGGGGGGAACCTCGCGCACCCCGCCGCAGGCGGCCTACGAATGCCGCGTGGCTCGACTAGCCTCCTGACCTTCGCGTCGAAAGGCGTGGCGGAGAACTCCATGGTCACGGGAAGATGCGGCCACGTCTCCGCGTCGACGACCACTGGTTGCCGAACGCGAGGCAGCAAACGACAAGACACCATGAACATGTCAATGGTGCGGCCAGGAAGGCTCTGAAGACAAGTTGGCTCTCTCGGCGCCAGCACCACGCCATTGGCCGACTGGAGCCAGGACAACGGGCCGAGCTCGCCTACCTCCATGTTGAAGTCGCCTCCGACGATCCACGGAACGCCCATGGCCTCAAGCGACCTGACATACTGGTACAGCTTGTACAGCATGGCCAGGTTCTCAGGCGACAGCTTCACGTCCACAATGAAATAGCACGACAGCATGACGAAGCCGCCCTTCACCCCCGCGTGGACATGGGCCGCCATCATCCTGCCTTCCTGCAGCACGTGGCTGTCCAGGCCTGGGGGTTTGGTGATGACCACCCGCAAAGGGGCCAGCACCGCAACCCCGCCTCTGCTGCCAACTCCCTGCCCAGGTAAAGCGGGCTCCCAAATGCCATGGTACCCAGCAGCTCTTACCTTATTCTGCAACTTCGCCAAGGCATCGCCCTCGGCCTTGGCATGATGTTCCTGCACCGCGATGCATAAGCTCGAGCACGTGGGCAGGAAATCGACGAGCGGGCCGCCCGAGGACACGTTCACGGTGGTAATACTTGCAACAGAAGCCATGGTGCGACAAAGGAGGACGAACCACACAATACACGCAAAACACCGCCGTGGAGCCAGGCTAGACAGGGGTGAGCCTTGGCTTCTTGACCTTGGCACCCCAACGCATGAAGATCTCCTCCAGCCTGTGCTTCTCGCCACCAGCGGCGACGACCTCCTCCATGAAATCGGGGTCGTCGGAGAAGGCCGTTGGCTGTGGTGTGCGTGGCGCTGCAGCATCGACCTGCCGCTCGTCCTGCTCGACGTTGGCCCCAGCCTCGGCCCCGGCATCGGCCTGCGCCTTCTGGGCTGCCAACTTTGCCGCCTCCGCCTCCTGCAGCCTCTGCAACTCCTGGAAGCTCGCCGTGAGGCTGCCCGACAGCTGGTGATCGGCGCCCAGGCTCTGAAGCAGGATCCCCAGGCCCTCGAGCGTGGCACCAACCCCCTTGATCGGCTCATCGAGCGACGCCTTGTCGCCTGGCGTCGGAACCTGTCCTTGAAGCTTCTTGCGCTCCTGGTCCAGCTCCTCCATGCTTGCATCGATGGCCGCCAGCTTGTCGCGAGTGAGCCGTTCCTTCTCCTGCAGGTCGCGCATCTGCGCCTGCAGCCCATCGAGCTTGGTCTGCTGGTCGTCGCGCAGCTTCTGCAGCCTGGTGAACTGAGCTCCCATCTCGCGCAGTCGCTGCCCGAGCGGTCGGGACTCCGCCACCTTGGCTCGCAGCTCGGCCTGCTCTGCCAGCAGCTTGTCGCGCGTGGCCACGACCGACGGCTCGGAGATGCCCTTGAGCTTGCCGATGAGGTCGCCGACCTCGCGCAGCCTGTCCTTGGCGACGGACTCGGGGCCGTCCCCGTCCGCGGCCGGCTCCATCTGCACGTCCTCCCCGCCAGGCGGCGGCCTCTGCACCGCAGCCAGCCGCTTGCGGGCCTCTGCGAGCTCGGACTTGAGCTGGGCCACCCTGACGGAGTCATCCCAGTAGCCGTTGCCGCCGCCGCCCTGATGACCCTTCCTCCGCTGGGAGGGGGCCGAGGGCTGGCGCACGCCATGGAAGACCAGTCCCTTGCCGAGCTTGCACTTCGCACACTGCCGCGCCTCAGCATGATTCCACCACGGTCTCCCCGAGGGCCCGCAGCAGCTCTTGCAGTACCAAGGAAGCGCCTGCTCCGAGCGGTAATGCGGCGGTGGCATCTCCACGACGCCAGGCAGCAGCCCACTCGGCGGGCCGTGGCAGCGCGATCTGGAAAGGACTGGATGTGGGCGCCCAACTCCCACGGTGAAGGCGAGCGGTGGTCTGGCCGCGGACTAGCGGTATCCGTGCGGTCCCCAGGGGAACCAATCATCTTGAGCCAAAATGGCTACGGAGGAGGAGGAGGAGGAGGAGGAGGAGGAGGTGGTGGGGAGGAGGGGGAGGAGCTGGTGGGGGAGGGGGAGGCTCTCCCTCGGCAGCGCGCAGGAGGCGTAAGTATCGTGGTTTCTGGGCGTTCTCGGCGCTCCTCTGACACCGAGAGCACATCGGAGGCGCTGGTTGGGAGCGTCCAGGGAGGCTCTTGGGGCTTGTTGTCCATCCTCCATCCTCCCTCCTCCCTCCTCCCCCCTCCTCCCCACTCCTCCTCCTCCTCCTCCTCCTCCTCCTCCTCCTCCTCCTCCTCCTCCTCCTCCTCCTCTCCGTTCGGCTGTTGGGAGGCTCCTGGAGACCTCTGGGAGTGTCCCAGGGCCTTCTTGGGGGTCTTTTGGTTGCGCTTGTTCGGGGGCTTCTGGGGGGGTCCTGGGGGCCTCTGACGCCGAGAGTTCGTAGGGTCTTCAGTCTGAACACCCTCTTGGGGCCGTCTCTGGGGCTTCTGGGGCCGTCTCGGAAGCCTCTTGGGCCGTCTTGGGGCTGTCTGGAGTCGTTTTGTGGCTCTGTTCCAGGCCTGTTGGGCTCTCTTGTGGCGTCGTTGCCGGCGTCTGGGGCGGGTAGGAGCGTCGGGAAGCCGAGATAGCAAGAACGCCAGAATTAATCAAGAACCTACGGGACGTTTGCGAATTTTGCCTTCGGGGCTCACTTGGGAGTGCTCTTGGAGGTTTTTCCCGGGGCGTTTTGGAAACGTATTGGGCCGTCTGGAGGCTGTTTTGGCGTCTTGGACCGATCGTTTTCGGATTCGGGGCCCTTGTAGACAGTTGTGGGCCGCTCTTAAGGCATTCTTGCCGCGTCCTGGCGCTTTTGTGAGACCCGGGACCGCCCGGGGGTATGCGCATCTAGGTTGCGATCCCCCCGGGGACCCCCCCCCACCAGGAAGAACCCGCCCCCCCCGGGACCCCCCCCCCCCGGCGGGGAAGGGATCGAAGGGAAGGGGCTCCCCTTCGCCTCAGCAACGACGCTGCTCAATTTCGCTTTGGTTCCGCTCTGGGTGGCGCGCTTGAGGGGGAGAGCCCAGAAGAAGGAGACGGGAGACGGACAAAGAGCGTGCGTCTTTCACACGCCAGGGTCGGCGTTGTGGTGTACACAGGCGCAATGGGCAGATCGCCACTTACATGCTGCTCGCGTCGTCGTCGTCGCTCGTCGCTCGTCGCTCGTCGCGTCGTGCGCGCGGGCGCGGCTGTGGTGCCGGAGCCACACGGCGGGGGGGGGCGTCACGTCATACCCCCCGCCGCCCTCCCCCCCCCCATGACGCCCGTCATCGCCGAACATAAAGAAACGCCTTCATACAGGCTGAGGCCCAGCTGGACCTCCTGGACAGAGAGGCCCGCCGCGCCGCCTGGAGGGATGGCCATGCACACCCTTCGACTGAGTGTAGCGCTCGAACGCGAGAGGGCAATCGTGTAGGTTTCGCACGCATGATTTTTTTAAAATAAAAATGCAAAAAGAAGATATAAAGGAGCCGGCCGAGGCGTTGCTGCGCCCTGCAGCCTGCTCCGGGCGAGGGCGATGCAGACATGCCAGGCCTGCTAACCGCCGACGGTGTCTCGCACCTCCGATTTCTTGTGACCGACGTCCCTCAGGAGCGGAAAAAACACAGACACAACTAATCGTCGATCCCCAGGAAAATATGGGAGAATATGGGAAGTGGTGGGGAAGACAAGAACCCTGAAACTATGGGAAAATATTGGGAATCCTGTTAATTGTGTGTATTTGTGTGTGTGTGTGTGTCCCAGGGCCTCTTCAGTCTCAGGGACCAGTCGTCTGCTCCCTGCTCGAGTCTGGTCCCGCAGGGAGCATGACGCTGCGGTTTGACGCCGCTTTCGGGCCGGGTCACGCGCGGAATCTTCCGACACATCCTTCGTCTCTCGGGGGCCACATGCGAACCCTACCCCCACCCTCCCCCTCCAAAATCGTTGGGGCTAGGGGTAGGGTTCGCGTGCGGCCCACTAGTCTCGGAGACGTCCTTGAAGCTAAGGGCGTCGACAGACCAATGAAAAAACGAATTTCCCGGCTCCGAAATCGGCCCGTGCCACCCCGCGGGCGAGATCGGGCTTCAGCCTCTGTGCACTGCCAATGGTGGCCCATGCTAAGGAACGCCCTGCTCGCCTCCAGGTTGCTTTCTTGGGTTTCAATGGTTTGGCTATGGAAAGCGCGTCGTTCCCGCGCCAAAAACTCGACGGGTGCGGGGCGCCTGTCCCAGGGCGGCTGGAAAGTTTACACCCTTGCGGCGGCACGTCAAGGTATGAACTTTCCAGCCGCCCTGGGGCAGCGCCCCCGGTGACCCACAAGTTTACGTTCTAGCGTGTTTCGCCCGCCAAAAGATCGATGGGCGTCCTGGGGTCTCAGGGTGGGTTGGGTTCCTTGCGGAATGTTTCTCGTGGACTTGCCTCCACTGTAGATGGGCCAGGTTGCCGAATGATGAGGAGGAAAAGAAACACACAGACACAATTAATCCTCGATTCCCCAGAAAATATGGGGAAATATGGGAAGTGGGGGGGAAGACAGAAACCTAGAAAACATGGGAAAATATGGGGATTCCTTTTATTTGTGTGTATTTATTTGTGTGTCCTGGGCTCCTTCAAATGATACCCATCTGTGGCGAGCTGGTGCAGCAACCCGGCGAAGCCCCGCCGCCGTCGCCGCGTAGCTCCCTCCGCCGCCCCAGCTGCGCCCGCGGCTCTCCTGGCCGCCTAGCAGCGCCCCGCCGCCGCCGCTGCCGCCCTTAATCCGTCCCTGAGCCCGAGGTCATCAGCTGCAGGGCTGGGGTCCTGGAGTCCGAGCTCGGTTCAGCCACAACGCTGGGAGTAGCGTCTCCCTCCCCCCCCAAAAAAAAAACGCTGGGAATAGCGCGCGCGAGACGCGCATGCCGTGGCCGCCAGTCTCAGCCGCTACTCAGCGGCATGCGGAAGGCAAAGGTAGGGCCCAGACTCGTCAGCCACAGTGCGGACATCCGGGCAAGCGGCGGACGAACCCGGCGGAACGTCGGGCCAGTCCGCTCAGGCACGGAACGGTTAAGCATGTCTGCGGGGAAGCGGATGTGCCCAACCTGGGCGGTACCAAGGGCGATTTTCGTGCACAGTCTCAGCTGTGTTCGATTAGGGGGCTTTGAAGTGACGCTGGTGCAGGAATGACCACGTGCAGATCGGCACGGGGAGGGAGACGCCATACCCGAGCACAGAGGCTCCTCTGGCGAACAAGTCGTTCATGGAGCTGGCTGGCAGGCAGTGCTCGACGCTTGTGCTGTTCACCCTCGGCCGACCCCTAATTCCGACCCGGATTCTCCGAGATTCTCCTCCTTCCCTCCCTCCCTCCACAATTACTCAATATGAATACTACTCTCCCTCCTCCCCTGATGACGGTTTGAAAGTGGTCGACCCCCCCGCGTACTTTTTTTTACACACAGGTAACTTGTGGTTTCCCCGGAGTTGGGTTTTCGCCTGATTTTTTTTCAAAATGCTGCTCTCGCTGAGGCGCCGGCCTCATTTTCGGGCCCCGCTCGTTCCGAATCGTGCTCCCGCTGCAGCGCTGGCCTCATTTCCGTGCTTCCGCTCGTTCCGAATCGTGCTCCCGCTGTAGCGGTGGCCTCATTTCCGCGCTTCCGCTCTTTTCGACTCGTGCTCCCGCTGCAGCGCTGGAGTCATTTCCCGTGCCGTGCCACGGCATGCAATGCAATGCTAGGTTGATACTACGCTTTGCGGTGCTCCTCTACGCCATGCCATGCCGTGCTCTACAATGCATCGCGTACCCTTTCGGGATCATTGCCCTGCTCGACATCCGACTGATAGAGAGGGGATCTGCGCCATGGTAAGGGATGGGAGGGAGGGGTAGGATGTCAGATATGACGCGAGCGCACCTAGCTTGCCTCCCTCCCCTCCCTCCCTCCCTCTTCTCCTACTCCTCCTCCTGCTCCTCCTCCTTTTCCACCCTTCCTCCTCCCCCCTCTGGGGGTTGGGAGGGGGTATTCGCGCGGGCCGCGACCCGGGCGAAGACGCCTCGCAGGAGCACGCGAGCTGGCTCGAGGAGTGGCCCGCAATTGCCGACGCGTGGCTCCGCCCGCCACTTGTGGGATGATTGTGGAGGGGGGATTCGGATGCAACTCCTGGGAGGTCAAATTCTGATCTTGCTCTGGTCCGACATCCGGCTTAATCCCGCGTGATCCCGCTTAGTCTGGCTTAATCCCGCTTACTCCGGCTTAATCCGAGGCCCTTTCCGGCGCAATAGCCCCCCCACTAGGGCTGAATTCTCTTTCATTGTTCCGACGAAGACCTCCGAGCAGTTGCCTCCTGAGGGGGAGGGATGCGGAAGGGGCGGGAAGGACGAGCTAGGTGCGCAAGCATCCTAATCTGACGTCCTGCCCCTCCCTCTCGTCCCTTGCCGTGTTGCTGATTCCCCTGCTCGCACGGTCGGATGTCGAGCAGGGCAGGGGTCCCCAGATAGTGCGCGGCGTAGCACGGCGTTGAACATCGCGGAGAGCTCTCCATTCTCGGAGGGAAACCAGACATGACGCAAGACGACATTGTACATTAACGGTTCGGAAAGAGCAGAAACATGATAGCGCTCGGACTGAACACAAAACACATGTGCTCGACCTCCCTTGGGGGATCGTAGGTGTAAAACATGGTACGCGGATGGGGAGCAGGCCAGGCTACGACCTCGGGGACTTCGGGGGAGAGAGGAGACGGGAGGAGGCGGGACGATGATAAAGAGAGATGAGACGGGAGGAGGGATGATGAGCATGACAATGATGATGATGATGCTGATGATGAGGAGGGTGTTGATGATGCTGATGTTGCGGATGATGGTGTTGCTGATGATGATGATGTTGATGGTAATGATGGTGATGGTGCTGATGCGGACGCCGATGATTATTGTGATGCTTATGCTCATGCTGCTGCTGATGATTATGCTGCTGATGATGATGCTGATGCTGATGATGCTGATGGTGATGATGATGGTGATGATGGTGAGATTGATGGTGACGATGATGCCGCTGCTGATGATGATGAGGTTGATGATGATGATCATCATGATAAGTCTTCCGATGCTGAGCATCACCAGGATGATGGTGATGCTGATGATGATGATGGTGATGTTGTTGTTGATGATGATTATGATGATGACGACGATGTTGATGATGCTGGCGATGAGGATGCTGTTGCTGATGATAATCAGGGCGGTGATCATCATGATGGTGGTGGTGGTGATGATGGTGGGGATAATGAAGAGGAGGAGGGACGTAAATGATGAGGGACGGCCTGCGTTGGTTGTTGTTTGTTGATCTCATGTTTGTCCGCTAACCGATGGGGTCCGACCGTTTTCGGGGGGATTCGGGTGATTGTCGATGGTTCCTGGAGATCTCCAGGAGATGGGCAACGGAGGAAGGAGAGGGGGTGGGGGGAACACGACCAGGTAGCACTGCTCTTCTCAGGTCCCCGGGTTGACCTTGCCCATCGATGCCGCTTGGACCCAGACGGTTGGACGAAGCAGTGACGGTGAAGGTGCGACCACATCGCGAAGGTGAAGGCTGTTTGGCATGACATGCTCGCGGACATCCACGATGCTGACAATGTCTACGATCAGCCGCAGAGGCGCGAACTATACATTTGTAGTTGACGTAGGGAGTGGATCAGTGCACGGGATGAGACGAATCTCCAGCGACGAGAAGAGGTGCCATATTTTGAGTTGCGGCTTACGTGAAGTAGGGGCGCTGCGTACATTCGACCGTGCACCATTGAACTTAATTGTTCCGAGCTGTCTCTGCTTCCAGCGTGACTCCGCCTCGATGGTTCAGGACTGCAAGGGCTCTGAGGTGTAGCAGCGAGTGCAAAGACGGGGTGGCAGGTTGAGCGGCGGGTGTAAAGCAGCGCATGAGCTCTCCATAGCTTGAAGCTGGTGGCGCCCCGACATCGGGGGCTGTTCAGGATCTTGCGAGGAGCATCGGAGGAGGAAGAGGTACCCATACCTCTACCCTTCCCTCGTGTTTCCCTTTTTGGGCCTCCTGGGAGGCCCTCGTCGCCACCGCTGGATTCGCCTCGAAATCCTGGTCAGAACGCACCCCGGGAGAGGTCTGGGGGGTATCGGTATCCGTACCTTTTGGTTTCCCCAGAGCAGTGGCTATCGGACTTGGCCGTCGGGAGTACTTGCAGCTGCAACTGGCAGTGACCACCAGCCCGTCCAGGCTGACATGTTCTCATTGTTGAAGGGTGGGGGTTCATAGCCGAGAGTCAGCACACCTCATCACATAGGTGTTTGGTTTCGACGACAGTAGTCAACGTCTGGCAACGTATGTGGACAGAGTTGTGATTTCTATGGCTGCTCTTTGCTCGCCTGCTCACCGTCGCAGGCGTAGGCTTGTTTGTCGGGGTGCTTGTGCCTTCCCTGTTGCGGTCGGACCGAGGTATAAGATCGAGGTCGCTTCGGGGAGAGTAGCTAAGTGTTCTTCGTGTTTGTTGGGTATTATTGTGCGTCCTGGGGAAGGTGCCCTCGAGTGTTCTTTGGTTTGACTAGCGGGGTGTTTCATCTTCTTGAAGGGTGTTCTTTTGTCCTAGGTCCAACTGTACGGCGCCATCGGATCTAGTGAGTTGACGTGCGGCACCCTTTTGTTTACTCCGATCGCTTTCCGCACAGGGTATCTAAGATTAGTCTTACTGCACTGTTATCGTAGCTGGTCGACATCATACTCAGATCACGTTCGTGCTCAACATCCTGTATGCTCGTAGCCCGCATGTTGAGAGCTCGGAGTCTGGGGTATTTCGTATCATTTGATGTGTGTGGTCTTCTCTCTTCCCTCTTCCTCCTCCTTCCTTCTCCTCCTCCTCCTCCTTTACGTCATTGCATTATGTTTCGTTTGACGTATTAGCGTGGCCGTTTAGGCCAGCTAGTGCGGGTATAACACAATTTATTACATTGACTGTATTTATTTGTGTTGTGCAGGTACTTTGCGTGAACCTCCCGGAGCCTCAGGGGGGGGACATTTTGTTGACCTCAATTCGGGCCCTGTGGATGTGTTTCGCTGTCCCTCCTCTCTCCCCCTCTTCCCGCGCTTCCTCGTCCTCCTCTTTCTCCTCCTCCTCATCCCCTTGCTCTGGCGTGTTGCTGGCCGAATGTCCGCCCCGAGTTTCGACCACGCTCGCAGTACAGAAGATCCGCTGGAAACCCGTGGCTTCTGTCTCTAGGCGGCCTCCCGGCCGGCGCCGTTACGACAGGCAGCGCAAATTCACGTGGCGACACGGATCCGTCATCGATGTTCTTCTGATCATGACCTTTGCTACGGGGAACAACATTTGAGAACTCGGAGTCTACTCTAGGGATGCCCAACCACCGCGTGTCTTTCAGTGTTGCACCTCCTCATGTGTCCTACCGCTGCCAGTGATGTTGCATCGCTTCCTTTTGAACTGCATGTTCGTTTACTAGTGTATGCCGGCAGGCCCACTATAACGGAAGCTGGCATTGGTTTATTTGGGCACTTTCATTGTTAGGCGGAGTTGTTTGTTGCCCGTGGTACATGGCCCGTGGCCCATGCCACGTGGCTCGCAGCCCGTAGCAGCCTCGTGGCTAGTGGCCTGTGGCCCACATTTTTAGATCTCCCACGCGTGATGTTCTGCATGCAAGTGAGCTGTGGGTGAGACTCCCAGGGCTCATTTCGATTCCTCCGATCCGATTCGATTCGACTTCGATTGCTTCCGATTCCGATTCGATTCGACTTGGGATTCCGAATTGGGTTCCGATTTCTTGTTGGAGGCGTACTGGCCTGCCGATTTCTGCCGATTCGACTGTTCCCGACTCGGCTGCCGGTTTCCGCCGATCCGTATCATTTAGGTCGCCGATCCAATTTATCGATTCGATGTTGGGCTCTCCTGGACTTCCAGGAAAGTGGCCACGCCTGTCTGATGGGAACGCCCCTGGCCCCAGGGACCCAGTGCGGATGTTCGTCCACATGGGACGCAAGCCCATGGCCGTCCGCAGTAAGCCCACGCAGGACGGGCTCCGACACCAGTGTCTTCAGGGGGTTTGGAGGCAGTCGAGGGAGAACGGAGAGGGAGGATGCCGGGCGGGGGGGGGAAGGGAGAGGATAAGGAGGATGAGGATGAGGATGAGGATGAGGATGATATTGATGATAGTGGTGCTGATGACGGTGGTGATGATGATGCTGATGACGACGATGGCGAGGACGATGATGATGATGATGATGATGATGATGATGATGATGATGATGATGATGATGATGATGATGATGATGATGATAGTGGTAGTGATGATGATGGTTATTATGATGATGCTGGCGATGTTGATGTTGATGATGGTGTGGATGTGTATGTTTATGTTGATGGTGATGATGCTGTCCATCACGACGACGACGATGCTGCTGACGATGATGATTATGATGATGGTGATGACGATGACGATGCTGATGATTCTGATGATGATGGTGGTGGTCATGACGATGCTGATGACGATGAGGATGATAATACTGACGATTATGTTGATGCTGAAACTGATGGTGGCGTTACTGACGATGATTATTATGATGCTGCTGATGACGCTGATGGTGGTAGTGATGGTGATGATGCTGGTGATGCTGGTGCTGGTGATCGTTATGATGCTGATGCTGTGTTAATGCTGGTGCTGATGGTGATGATGACGATGGTGATGATGCTGCTGGTTATGACGATGATGATGATGCCGATGCTGACGATGACGATGGTGATGGTGATGGTGATCATGATCATGATCATAATGATGGGATGCTGCTGCTGATGATGGTGCTGATGATCATGATGTTGATGCTGCTACTGCTGCTGCTGATGATGATGCTGATGCTTCTGGTGCTGGTGCTGGTGGTGACGATGATGATGATGCTGATGATGATGATGATGATGCTGATGATGATGATGATGATGATGATGATGGTGATGCTGCTGCTGCTGATGATGATAATGGTGATGGTGATGATGATGCTGATGAGGCGGAGGCGGATGAGGAGGAGACTGGAGATGAGGATGGGGAGGATGCTGAGGAGGATGAGCAGCAGCAGCAACAGCAGCATGAGGACTAGGATGAGGAGGAGGACGCTCCGAGGATGAGAAGGAGGGGTTGTGAATAGAACCCGTGTAATACCCTCATATATACTCCTTATCCTCACCTCTCCTGCGCCTGGCCGTTTGGGCTCAGGTATTGGGACAGGTCGATCAGACCTTTGATCGTGCAGGAGGGAAAGACATCCATCTATCCCTCATTCCCTCTACCAACGGATCAGGGGTTCTGTACCCTTGTACTTCAACCCCATACACAGGTTATCAGCCCTTTAAAGCTCACCGTTCATCGAACCCCGCGTCGCGACCTCGCACGCGGCCTCGATGGAACCCAAGCGGCGCATGCGCCGCAAGGGGTCCATCGGGGCCTCGCGTACGAGCTCTCCGACGGCGCGACGGCTCGGTGATGAGTTGGAGAGCCTTAGTGCGGACTGTGTTGGTGTCCCAGGTACCCCCCCCCCCCAGCTCCGACGGACCCGAGGCGCGGCTAGCTGCTGAACTTCACCGCAGCGCCGCCCGCGGGGGGACAGGAGAAGGAGTAGGAACAGGAAGGAAGGAGTTTCACACGCCTACCTTCGATCCTCCATCTCCTCCTCAGTCGGGAGCAATCCCAACTGCGTCAGGCGAAAGCCTCACTGGTCCTGATACTCCAGGGCGCTTTCGCGCTAACCGCCGATGGACCTCAGGTGCTGGTACCCCCAGCCCTGCGACCGTTCCTGTTGCGGAGCACGTTGCCACCTTCGAGGAACTCAGTAGACCAGTGGCGGCGCAGCCGCAGACGCAGTACCCCAAGGTATCATCGGATGAGACACCACACACATGGTCCGAGTCGCAGCTCGTCCGCGCGCAACCGTCGTGGGGCCCCAGGCCCATGCGGCGAGAGTAGGTCGAGCCCGCGCACTGCCTCTCAGAGGCCATCATGCACTCCCCGTGACAGGGGGCACAGGGAAGCTGACGCTCCCCACCTTTCCATCTCAGACGATCAGCTGGCGGAAACGTCCGCCGCAGGTGAAATATCTGAGCTCAGAGACCAGGTTGAAACCTTCGTGTCCAGGCAGTACTCTGGACTACTGCAGAGCGTTCAGACGAACGCCGCCGATACTGCAGCCATGCGCCACGATCTGGACGGCGCCTTAGGGATCATTGATTCCAGGATCGCCGAAGATCGACGCATCATAGGTGAACTGCAGTACCAGGTTGATCGTGAGGTGTCACACTCAGGTGAACGAACGGCGATGGTCGAGAACCTGCGCAACTACCTCGCGCAGATGGAGCAACAGCTTGTGCTCGTACGCGACACAGGCGTTTCAGCAGTCAGGATTTTACATGATTTGATCCACGACCAGCTCCGCAACCGACCAACACCAGCCGAGGCCACCGACCTTGGCGACGTTCAGTCTCAGATCAATGATCTTCGATCCTACCCAGACCACACTACGGCGACGCTTCGCAACGAAGCACGCACTGACTCGTCGAACCTGATCGACATGTTGCAGCGTACTGAGAGAGTCATCACTCAAAGGCTTGATGCGACCAACGCTGTCGTGCAGCCACTCGCTAACCGGATCTATGAAATCGAGCAGCGTTTTCCTGATGCACAGGACGCCCTGGCAGAGTTGCGTGTCGGACGAGCCCAGACTGGCCAGCTGGATTCTCCTCCCACGGTTTACGATTTCGCCCGCCTCACTGACAGGTTGCAGGAGGTTGAGAAGGCGGCGGGCCACGCGCAGTTGGAGCTCTCCCAGGTTATTCGTGAGAGAGATACTGAGAGGGTACGTATTGAGGGGCACCTCGCACGTCTGGAAAGCGAGCTGGAGGCACAAAGCGCCCGTCTCCGAGCATACGAGCAACGACTTGATCGGCATTCACAACGTTCTCGGGATACTGATGAATACACACGCCAAAAGGTGGCCCAAATACACGAAGACATGACGAGCTGGACGAATCAGCTAATCGACCACACCAACGACACCAATCTCCACCTTCGACCTGCAACCGACCTGCACAGGCCGACGGCAGCGTCCGCCGAAGCACCACAAGCCTCTGCAGGACAACAACGACGTACGTCACCAGGAGCAGCCTCCTCGGCAGCTTCTGCACAGACACGCCATGTCTCCTGTGCGCACAGAACCGACAACTGACGGTGCACCGATACCCTCACAACCACTGTCTGCGGTTTCGGTCCATACTACAACTCCTATCAAGGAGTCAGACACCGTCCGAGTCCCTGTCTTGCCTAAGATCACGCAGCTGCTCGAGTGGCAGCAAAAGGTACGGAAGAACTTTGGGGCCGCCTCAGGGCGACCATCCAAAGCATATGCCTTCCTATGCGTGGCTGAACATCCCGAATGTACATTCGAGGACTTACAAGACAGTGGGGACTTTGAGAGCATCGATTGCAAACTCGCTACCGCTCTGAGCGACATCTTATCCTCAGACTTGCGCTACCAAATCAGGCTCATCGAAACCAGAGAGCACAAAGCAGGACGCATGCTCAAAGGACGCCAGATTTACTGGCACATCCTACAGTCCTACAAAGTGACAGAGGTTGATGACGACCTGCACGACTTTGAGCGCCTTAAAGAACTGAGGATGAGAGATGACGATTTGCAACGTTTTATTACTGACTGGGACGCTTTACTCTTGGAGTGCCGAGAAGCACCCGATCCAAAGATCTTGGAATCTCTGTTTCGTACACAGATTCGGAGACATGCATGTGTGACACAAGACATGTACGAGTACCAGCGCATGAAGATCAGCGACCCGAATCGTACCTATGATTGGCTCCGACAGCGCGTCCTGGACACACTGGAGCTTAAACAATTGGAGAAGACTCAAAATAAGTTACGGTACGAACATGAGACACGTTCTCAAGTCAACGTGTGCGCTGCCTGGAAGAAAGGCAATTGTCGCAATGGTGAACGGTGCAAGGCTTTGCATGCACATTCTAGGGATTGGAAGAACAACGAATCTTCCAGAGCATCGGCGGCTGGTGGCAACTCCCGCCGCAGCATGTCCACTCCTGCGAATCACAAGAAGCCAGCATCGAAACCATTTTGCTTCGAGTTCGCCGAGCGCAACACATATACCAGAGGCGACAAGTGCAACTTTCCACGCGTCGCACAGTGTAAAGAAATCGCACGGAATAAGTGCCCAAGAGGCGACAAATGCAAATACGCCCATATTACACCTGGTGCGAAGACTCCCGAGCGAAGCCCGAGTCGACCACGGACCTCCAGTCAGGATAGCCGTGGCCGATCACCATCCCGCGGATCAGGAAGCCAGCGTTCTTCACAACGCGGGGGGTTCCGCTACGCAAGCGACTCACGCCATGGACGTGACAACCGACGCCAATGCGACCGATCTCGTTCAACATCCAGGAGGTCCCCAGACTCTCGCAGTCAATCGAGAAGTCGATGCGACCGATCTTCGAGATCTACCTCCCGGGGACGAGACAACCGTGGCGGCGGACGCGGTAGTCCGCGCGGCCGTGATAGATCATATGGTAGTGACAAAGGACGTGGCAGACGTTCCCCGAGCCATGGTTCGTCCCGTGGCTCCCCCCCGCGCCAGAGCACGTTCCCCTGCCAACTTTCGACGTTCACGCCGTTCCGACCGCAGTTACGTCATCCGTGACAAGACCCTCATGGCCAACACTAAGGCCACAGCGACATCTACCAAAACACGTCGTCGGATACGCTTCGACACACGTTATGTGTAATACTACTTACATACCGTATCTGGCAGGGCCAGATTGGACAAATGGAAGGATATGCCGAATGAGGGTGACAGCGTCAATGTACCAGACCCGTTACCACAACGATGGTGGGATCAAAGTGCGGACGCCCTACGAGAATGTCAAAAAGAGGCACAGCTATGGTACGACGACCTATATGACCACCGACACAATAAAGAGTCGGTGGCCACACCAACTGCGATCCGAAAA